CAGAACAAACAGGAGTAAAGTGATATTAGCATACGCTTTGTCTTGAAAAATGCCACGAACTTCAGGCAACACCTACCCAACCAAAAATGAAATATAGGATTCCAAGACAAGAATTGATAAACAGGTGGACTTTCTCTAGAACGATCTTATCAACGAAGATTTCCTCTGTACAGTGCTGTAAAGTAATTTTTTTCTTCGGCCCATAGGGTTCTCTCCAAATGTTCCAGGAACTTACTACAACAAACTATTTTCTGATCCCTCCAATTTTGTTGTAGAGTCCATCTGTATATTGTATTCTAATTTATACAATCAAATTTCCCCATTACACCAACAGGAGAATGCATGTAAAAGCCTCTCCACCAGACGAGTACAGTACACGTATTTTACAATAACTCACTAAACATAACTTAGAGCGACACCTAAGAGCTAGAAAGAAAGGCAAAGTGTAGGAGTAAGGATAAGATGACGTTAGACGGACCTAAGTTCCAACAGAGGAGTACTGCACAGTACACGTGCAATCCACACCATCACAAGAAAAGGAATACAGTACTGCGAAGAGAAATTAACCTGACAAAACATGAACTAAACAAACACAACTTAGACGAAACATATATACAGGAAACTATTACAATAGAAAAAAATCCTGAAATTAGGAACACACGGAAATAAAGTTTCAAGTACCCTCATTCCCACCTATAAAAAATGAAAGCTATTAGAACCGCTCCACCAAAAAGAAAGGCACATTTACAGCACGAAACTGTACAGTACAAGCAAAAATTAGACTCAATGCTTCTTCCATCCCCTCCACCCTGTCCTTCGAGAGAAAAACAAAAAAGGAGAAAAACCCCAACTGAACCCCGGAATCAAGTCCCCCTCTCTCTCTTCGCACACCACCGGATACCAGATCTCAAGTCACAGCCACCAGACAAGAAGATTCTTTCCCCCTCGTCCTTCTCGTCGAAAGTGTAACTTTTTTATTTATAGTACCTCTGACAGCGTCAATGTTCTCCTCGTCATCGCTGGCACTCCCGCCGGTCGTCTGCGCCGGCTTGGACTTTTTCCACCGAAAGCTTCTAAACGGAGACTTACTCCTCGACCTGTCCTTCTTGTCTCGCTTCGCGTCTTTCTTTGCTGCATGCCCAACATACAAACGCAAACCACAATAGCTTTAATCCTAGTGTGAGTTCGTTATTGTTTTTTTAATTAATTAGCGTTGGTTGTTTTAGCGTACGTTTTTTTAACTAATGAGCTGTGCTCCCGGAGTGGTTTAAACAAAGCCCCGTTTTTACTAGAAATGTAAATTATTCTCATGCGAAAAAAAATGCCCTCCGATGATAAATTTAAAAAAAAAAGGTAAAAAATAAGACATGCAAAAAATGTTTTACCCGAACTGGTAGAAGAGCCGCTGACTGGTTCAGACATGCGACTTCGACCAGTAGATTTGGTCTCTTCTGAGACGGTTCTGCTGCGACCAATACCACCAGGCACTTCATGCAACCAGGCAAACACCAAAATATAGGAATGTGATTACTGTACAAGTCACAATCATTTATAGTCGGGGTACCCGGGTGTAAGATGTTAATCAACGGGTGAGTACGAAAAATCGGTTAGAAGCCCAGAAATGAAGCATAAAAAACGCTTCCTTGAGCGAGATATTTTTAAAATGTCTTCCTAATACTTCACTTGTTATTCACTTCGAGATTTTACGATGAACATTTTCCCCGTTTTCTGAGGAATCAAATGTTGATAAAGACCTTCAAGTTTGACCTTTTTTTTTGAGATTTTGTTTGACTTGAGTTTCAGTACCATGCGGCGAGCTAAAAAAAAATTAATACCCATGGAATTTTTATCCCGTCATTTAAGGATCAACAGCTGCACAAAAAATTAACTAGCCGTAATTAAAAGTGAAATTAGTGGGCGTATCGTTAAAAAAAATCTTTAAAAATACCGAAGAAATTATGTTGCAAAAAGTTCTGCAATTTCCTGAGCTAAAAGCGACCAACGAACAGTTCGAAAAAGAACTACTAAAGTACTGCAAAAACCTCATGAAAATAGCACGTAAATTTGCACTTAAGTGTTTTCAGTTGAAAATTCATGACGGAAACGGGTTCCAACCCCTCTACACATCCAACAAGCATAGCATGCCACAGAAACGCATTCAAACTACCGTAATGTGATACATGCGAAAAAATCAGACATTATTTTCACATTCTTCGACGAACTCCTCGCATTCCGGAGCTTACGATAAACATGAAGCGAGTGAAGAAGACGAGGGATCTTTTTTTCTTCAGCGACAGCGAAGTCAAGTTCCCCCTCAGATCTCAACTTATCCCAACAGAAACACGTCTGTTCCAATATTTCCAACTCTCACCGTAATCCCAAATTCGAGACAAAAACAACACGGACACTTTCTTAGCCTCAGGTTAGTTTGTCAATATTAGCGAGCTTTTTCACACGCGAATGTAAGACGCCATAGACTTCTGTTTATAGTTCTAAGCTTTAAAAAATAAAAACCAAATGAAACACACGCTCTCAGTTTCTTCCCACTATTCAAGAAACCCGGTTTCACAGGTGGAACCAGTGAGGGAACCGATTTGTAAAATGACATTATACCCTCCAATCACTATACAAAACAATGAAAAAAAAAAATAATAATTGTAGTACAGTATTAGAAATTTACGACATTGTTTTTTAGACTTGTGCTTTGGATTGAGGTTTCTATAATAAAATACTGCACTCAAACCTCTTTGATTTGAACTTCGAGGAACCAGCGGAAGTACTGGAGTTGAAGAGGTTTCGAACAGGAAATTGTAACAACTGATATTCTGGTCCTTGAATTACTTTTTAGAAGAGTTGAAAAAAAATGATGTCATTGGAGGCAAGGGTTCATCAGTCAATTTATCTTTCTCTTTCTTTCAGAACTCATCAGTTACATTTTTACCTTTTTTCTCTTCCCTGTGCCTTTGAATTAGTGAGGTTTTAATGCATTGATTCGAAGGGAATTCAGACAGGGATTTGAAAATATTTCGACATAGGGATGTTCGAGGTATTGAGGTTCAATGGCATCTAATTTCACGACGAATCGTCGGGTTTCATAAAATGTAGACCATAAAATGTTTTTCCAGGACCAAATCGCTAAAAAAAAAGCGTCTTACATTCGCCGAAAAAAGCATTTGTGCTTTTCAAGGCCGCACAAAAAAAAAGGAAGCAGTGATTTGTTTTATTATAATGATCGCAACGATCTTCTTCCGATCCCCACGCAACGTAGTTCAACCGCATATACGTACGTGGAGCAGCGATAGCCCGAGTGGTCGTCGGCACACTCGGCGGGGACGTGGGAGAAGCAATAACTTTCTTGGGTCGTCCAGCAGCTTGCAATCATTTCACACACAGAAGACACCATCATTTTCTCGAGAATAAAATGACGTTCTACGAGCACTACCAGTAGTGAACCACAAAGAAAACTTCTGACCAGGTACTACATATTTTCTTTTTTTCTTCCTCGTATACATGAACGCATTCGCGAGTAACTGGACTGAAATTCACCAGCAAAATAAAAAAAAAAAATTCCCGCAGGAGTTCCCAGAAAAACCCAGAAGAGCTTGAAAGGACTAACACTAATCTCAACATTCCACCACCAAAGCGAGGTAGGTATTGGATACAAGAAGAAAAACTTACCTTCGCGTTGTTCTTTCTTGGCGGATTGTGGTGCAACAGCCATCGCTCCATCAACACTAAAAGAGTAAAAATGAAGAAAATGAACAAAAATCAAATTACGAAGAATTTCCGATTTTTTAACTTGCTCCTGAGGTATTTCTAGTAAAACAATGACAGTTCAGTTCATCAAACTCTACCAAAATATTGCCTGTATCATCTCATGTAATTCGTTTATCAACTATGAGGAAAAATTACTCACAAATAAGAATTTAAACTTTAGAACAGAAGAGGTTTGCTAAAAGGAACTCAGACATCCATTAGAATTGCTTTCATGACAAAAATAAATTGTTTGAATACTAAAAGTTACCTCGAATGCTAAAAATCTCACAGAGAAATCTACTTTTAGAAAGCATTTCTTATGATATTGTAATCGCTGTTCTAAGGCAAAAATGAGAGAATTATTTCCTCACATCACCCAACCGACTTTGGTACCATCCCCAGAGCATCACACTTCTCAATAACGCGTGATTCTCGACTTACAGATCTTTTACCCTTTTCGGCAATAAGTGAAAACAGAGATTGACCAAAACCTTCAATAATGTTCCCAAATCAGCATTCAAGATCCGGAGGTCGTAGTTTCAAGTTTGAAGGAAAAAAGGTTCCAAAATTGGCAAGTAAAATTCTCGGGTTCTTGGATTAGGGGAATCGGAAGTACGAACAAGAATAAAATTTAAACGTGCGGACACTTCCTCGAAGATTTTAAAAAGCGCGATGAATAATCTGAAAAATCTTTTTCGGCAACCAGACTTAATAAATGACTTGAATGTCTCCAGGAATGAATGACGATTCACTGGGTATTCTCCGAGTTTCTGACTCGTCAAATGACAGTTTACGTCATTCAGCGGAAGTACCTAAATAGTACTTGATGAATCCTGAGTCGAAAAAAATAAGTTCGCTAGAACAAGATCTTCTAAAAGTCAGCATTTCTGGTTCTGGATAACGTCCAAAATCTCTTGATGAACAATTTTCTAGGAGAACCTTTCGTCGATCAACTCTTCTCTTACTGGGTTGTTTCAGGCGGAATCTGGGTTGAACTAAGATGTTTTATGATGAACATGCACATTCTGCTTCATGTTTTAAGCCTTCACCACGTTCATATCTGACGTTCCGAAGCGACTTCTTTGTACATTACTTTTCAACGGAGCACTTCCGTGCAGCAGCAAAATGTCACGTCAACGTATTCGTACCAACAAATCTACAGTATTTTATGTACAATATTCCACAAGTCAATCCCCCAGGGACAGAATCAAAACCTTTCCTAAAGACAGATATTTCAAAATCAGATTTCTGCAGCGGAGCACTCGGCGAAATCAATGTCTGCGGTGGAAAATCGAAGTTTATCTCTAACATAATGACAAGTTAGAAATGGAAATGTCCTTTTTATGTAATGAAATATATAAATATCCATTGCTCCTTTCGTTTTTCATGCATTATTGCTCACAATTTCTCCTCGTATTATAAAACGTTGAGGTTGCTCCATAGAGCGAAGATTCTTAACCCTGCACTACAGAAGTCCTAGGGGACTTCACGAGTCAAATCTCGTAAACTACAGTTTGGAGGACTGTTGATTTAAAAAAATCATGTACTGTACTGTGATATCAAACAAGTGACACGTACCTTTCTTCAAGAATAGGTTCAGGCTCTGGTGGAGGAACTTCCCTGCGCATCATTTCTTCCTGAATACGCCTTTCCTCCATCTCTTGCTCTTCTTTCTGCCTGGCAGCCATTTCTTTGATTTCGAACTGAAATGAAAAAATTCCAAAAATGCAATGTCAAAAATGAACGTCATCAAATCATGGAAGGCGAACACGAAAAAACGAAGATTACAAGGAAAGAATTCTCGCGTTTCACGAGAAGCCCATATTCAGCAGATATACTGTACAAAACTCAACGAAACTCGCGAACAGATGAGAAAAATCGCGAAAGTATGCGTAAAAAATGCATTGACGTTATTAAAAAAAAATAAGCTACGGTCTCTCACCCCCAAAATACGTTCTATTACAGCAGAATCTCTTTACAAAACAGCGTTTGGGACGAACTGAGACGAATTGAAATAACAGATGTGGCTCAGAGACAAAAAAAAGGTTCTTTCGAAGCATTAATTCGCTCTAACGAGATGCTACTGTAGTGGGAATGCAATTTCTTCTCGGCACGTACCGTGGTCAGTCTCTGCAACGCAGCAAACCTCTCTTCTTGCGCAGCAGCCGATTTTTCAAACGCCTCATGTTTCTTTAATAAGTTCTCCACTTCGTCCAGCGTATGCTGAAATAATAGATCAATCGTAAAATGCATGTCCTATTTCACATGACCCAGCACAACTTACTCCTAACTCTTGACTTAACAAATATGGTTCCTGACCAATCAACCAAGCTTCAGCCACGGCAGCATCTCTGGCAAATTGGTAAACTTCCAGGACTGAAAAGAAAAAAGGTAAAAACGGATTGACATTGATTTTTCAAGGCAAGAACCCAATTTGGAGGGTTAATGCATTAGCATTTCTGTACACATTTTGAGTTCTCTTTCATCAATTTTGGCAGAATTCTATTCCGATCTCTTTCCTTGGTTGCCAAGGCGGCAACTGAGACCCATGATCTTTCAAGACCACTGAAGGGAAATAAAAATCTTCCTTTCCCCATTTTGGGAAATTTCTCGACCGAACTACTGTAAATAAAAAAATAAAAAACTCACTCAGCTGCAAATGCTCCCAACGCTCCTCCCAACGGTGCAGCATAACGTTTCGTTGGTTTGTCAAAACCACGAGACGCTCTTTGATCTGAATAAATCATTCAAAATATAAAATATGAAAAAATGCAGACGAAATTAACAAATCATTGAAAACCTCTTCGGACGCATAATGGCTCCTCGAAAGCAGTTCCTTCCCCAAGGAGATGCAAGCAGTGAAATTGTCTTCTCGCGCATCAACTTCTGCCTTCAAACTCTGGTGGTTGTTCATGAGCAGCTCGACCCCACTCACGTCCCTGATGAAAAAAAATAAATTAATAGTCTTAAAATAACAGCATACACACGAAAAAATCTCATACTTCGTATGTAAGTTGGCGAAACTACCACTTTTGCTTTTGAAAAATAGCAAGAATTGAAGGAATCCTCGAAATCGGGGATTTATTTTTTGGCCCCGCTTTGTCAAGGAGATGAAAGGATGCCGAACTTGGATGAAAGGGTTCATTTTTACGATTAGCCTTACGCTTCCTTTTAAAAAGCATAAATTGACATTCTTATTCCTTCTCTCTTTCCTGTGCAAATGAAATAATAGCCAAAAGGCCAGCAGAAAATTCAATTTATGGAGGTTTGAAAAGGAAAGATCAAGTTGGGGTGGTTTTTAATGCATTGTTTTCAACATCTGAAATTGCGAGGTGCACGCCTCAAAGATGTTGGAGTTGGACAGGTTCAACTGCATGAAAATTAATACAACGTCCCGCTAAAAATATGTGGGGCATTCAGGAGTTGTATGGCAAACATAAATTATGATATACAAGTCAGAACATTTCATCATCTGAAACCTGAAAAGACACATGGAATATTGTACTGAGAGTATGGACAATTACCTAGGTTTCTCGGACGTGTTCATTTGACGAATCATATCATCCATCCAGAGCATCAGTGCTCGAACCAGGTTGAAGAACTTGAACAAATCGCCAGTGTCCAGCAACTTGAGTTTCCGCGCTTCGCACATGGTCTGCAAGCTGCGCCAACCATTCACCACCTCGGCTTCTCGGTTCGTAATTTCCATCGCCTTTTCGCCGGCATAGCCCGCTCGCAGATTCGCTGAATCCTCTTGCAATTGTTGCACCTGACCAAAATATGGATGGTAATGAACGTGTACTTGAAGATATGTTTCGCTTGAAGAGGTTTTCATACGTAAAAGCGCTCTTCTTTAGTTTTAACAAAATTAGTAATCCCTCAGAATTCCATCTCGCGAAAGGTTCGCACTCGATTATTTGAAAGCAGTGCATCTTTGCCACATTTCCTGCAGCACCAGTCTTATAATTTTTTTAGTGTTGTTTTTATCGTAAATCCAATTTCGATTAGTGCAATTTACGTCAGACTCAGTTACGTAGAACTTCGGCTAAGTATAATTTAACAATGCAATTTTAGGCGAGAAATAGCATAGATTTGAGTAATTTGTGTAAGGTAGGCAATCCAGGCAACAAATGCTCAACGACTTATGGCGGTTTCGACTTAGGGACACTTGGTACGAAAAAAATCTGCCCGAGCATCTGGACAACGCCTCGCTTTAAAGATACTACTGTATCCGCATTTTTAGAAAAGTTTTATACAGAACAATCGATACCCCTTTAACACTACAGTATTTATATTTACAACAATCAAAAAACCCCTATCATGATTTCAATTCAATTGATAATCCGAAATGGGCTAATTTTGCGCGTCGTTTTTAGTGCTTTTTCTAGAAAAGAGAAACCAAAGAAACAATAAGACTTTCAATCATAAAATCGAAAATCCCAAGCAGATGCTGAACAGTATTTTTTTGTTGCGAGAATTCAAAACCGAAATCTCGCTCCCATGCAAGAGAGAAATCAAATCCCACCTGGGCTTGCAGGGTAGACAGGTCTTGAGTGTAATTAAGATGCTTGCGATGCAATGCAGACACAGATCCGGCATCACGTCCCAACTCATCCGACATCGAATTCTGCTTCTCAATGATTCTTCCGAGCGTGTCCTTGCAGTCGTGGAAGAACTTGTGCAATTCCCACGAAGCCGCCAAATACTAAAAAAAAGGGGGCCATGGAATGTGTGAAAACGACTTCGCGTTTCAACGGAAGCAGAGGACAGAAAATAGGTCAAAGGAGGAATACACTACTGACCTGCTTTCGGGTCTCAATCAGCTCTCGCAAGTCAGCCCAGGCTTCATTCAGAGAGTCCTTCCATTCAGCAATCACCGCTGCATCTGAATGACCGGCGCCGATCAACTCATCCGCAATTTTATTTACGCCATTGATTCTTTCCTTTCCGGTGTCCTCAGTTTCCTCAGCAAAACTTGCAAACCTGTCTCGCAGCATCTACCAAAGAAAATTAATCTTGAACATAGCTCAAGAAGTAGGAGGGTGCTCATGTTCGTATATTCATGCGATTCGCGTTATTGAAAACACCCTTTTTTTCCAATTTCCAAGTCACATGAGCAATCAAAATAGATGGAATTCTTTGGACGGAATTCTCAAATTCATACCGAAACGTGTTCGTAGTCCTGTCCGAGTTCGTGAGAGCCAGCAACGACCTCTCGTTCTGCAATCCATTGCTCCAAGTCGTCAACATCTCGGTGCAACGTGTACAATTGCAAAGCTTCCATCAGCCTGGCAAGTCTCTCATTCGCCAAATCTTTCAATCCCGCGTATAACTTGTCGATTTGCACCTGTCTGACTTGGATGTTCTCACTGAAATGCAGAAAAACGGTAATTACTGTAAAATACCGCTAGAAATAAATTGTGAGAGCAAGGAATTCAAGCCATGTTTAAAAAAAATGCACACCTCTCGTCATGATTTTCGTTGATCAATTGCTGAGCTGTCTTGCCGAGTTGCAGAACATTTTCGGCATAGTCTTCAATGTCGTTTTCAAGCGACTCGTGCTTTTTCATCAGATTCTGTGCAGACGCTTCATCCTTACCACGGTCTTCCACCATCATGTATAATTCCCTCTCGCTCATCCAGCTCTCGGCTTCGGCGGCATCAAAGAAGTACTGAAATGATGAAATAAATTAAATTAATTGCCCAACATTTTTGAAACTCAACCCCCCGTTACAAAAAGGGAAACAAATTGAACAGTTTCTGTAAATAAAGCAGAATTAACTTCAATCAGATTTCTAGCTTTTCTCCAAGCTATCATGGAACTTTACGAAGATGCTTGTTGGTAAACACATTTACGAATATCAACAATACATTTTTCTCAGGGGGAAGGGGTTTTGATACAGTATTTGCAAGAATACTGTACGATAAGTTTTCGGAAAATTCAAGTCAATCCAAAATAAATGTCCCGTGCATTAAAATTTGAAAAAGGTGCAATCAAACAAGTTATAATCTTAGTTCTATCGTTGATGAAAAAGTGAGAGTTTAACCTGTTGTCCTCGTTCAGAGTTGATGAGGTTCCTCTTCCTCTGGTCGACCGCATCCTGCAACTCTTGCCAATCACTCATGAGCTCTTCAATCAACAAAGCAAACTCATCGGCGCATTCGTGGCCGCTGTTGATCAATTTGCCGCCGTTGTCGCAAATGAGCAAAATCCGCGGTTCGTGGTTATCAATCTCCGTCTTCAACGACTGGTTCTTCTTCTGCAACATCAACACGTTGAACAAAGAGTCCCCAAAGTTGGAGCTGGTGGCCAGCGGCATCTTCTCGGCAATCCACATCTTTTCATCCGCAACGTCTCGGCGGAATTGGAAGGCTTCCTTCTTCTTCTCCAGCTCGGTTTTGCGGTGTGAAAGCGGGCCTTGCAAACGCTGGAATCGTTCTTCCACCATCGCTTTCTTCGCCTCGTATTCTTCGGCCTTGTCTGGAGCGACAAGGCGTTCGAGGTGCATTTTTTGCGTTTCCAGCTCGTCCACTTGTTTCGCTTTGATGGCCATTTGCGACTCGATCATCTGAATTAGATTAATATACAAAGTTACAAACCGCATAAAATTTCAAATAAGAGGCAAATAAAAAGTTGATTCATGAGCCAAGGACGGTAAAGCCATCAATTTGTTAGCACCTTTTTGTGAAAATTCAGAAAGCTTCACAGAAATATGTGAATCTTTTGAGAAGATTCCAAACTAACCAATCCTCTTAGCAACGACAAGCTTGACAAACAAAGTCGCGAACCTGTTGTTTCTGCATCAGAATATTAACAGAAACCAAGTCAGAGCCGGTGTCAGTCTCGATTTGCTTCTCCAAATCGGTCATCCATCCGTCGATATCATCGCACGTTTGTTCATACAGAGCTTGGCGATTGGCATCAAACAACCTCTCGCCCTTCTCCTTCGTAGTGTCCTCGAGTTCCTCAAACCTCTGCGCCACTTCAGCGATCCTCGGAAGGATCCTCTCAGCCAACTCAGGCTTGTCTCGCACCAATTGTTCTCCAGCTTCCTGCACTCTCAACAGCCTGTCCTTGTTGGACGCAATCTCCGCCTCGAAAGCCTGGTGACGAGTCCACTTGGAGTGGATGGTTTTCGCACTGCGGTAGCTTTCGTCTTGGGCAACGATCGTCTTCTCGACGATCCATTCGTCGAGTTCTTCGCAGTCTTGGAGGAACTGGTGCTGTTGGAGAAGGTCTCGCAGGCGTTCCATGAGCCCCAAGGCCTTTTCGCGGTTTGCATTGCGTCGCTCGGCGATACTGTCCGCCTTCTTGCCGATTTTGTCAGAAGCGAAGTGTCCTTCGTCGCAAAGTCGGTGGGCGAATTGAATGACGGTGTTGATCTTCTCGTCGTTGGCTTCCATGGTGGTGAGGAACGCTTCGTGCATCTTGATCAGGCTTTCTGCCTTCTCCAGATTGCTCTGAAAAGAAAACCGTATCAGCTTTCCAGCACAAAAGAAACCTCAAATGTGACATTGAGGAAGAAATCTCAGATTTTACGACGCAAATTAATCTCTTCTTCGATTAGATGGTCAATATTAGTCAATCATTAAACGATATTCTTAATTGCAACTAAATTTTGAACCCAAAAAATTACTCTATAAACCTTTGAATCAATACCAACACAACGTGAATTTTATTCATTGCATTCTCTGACAGGATTACCTCGGACGGTATATGGTGGAAGCTTTGTTCAACGGAATCACGAACAGCGAAAAAAATTTGCAAATTGAAACAGAAGACGAACTTCTTGGCTTAATTATGATAACCGGATATATTTTCTCCGGTAACATGAATAAAACGCGAGGATGATTTGCTCAATTCGATGTAAACAGAAAACGCTTTTACATACGACGAACCAATGAAAAATTTTTAAAAATCATCATGACCAGTTATGAACTTACAGAAATATCCCGTACTGAAACCCATCACAGAAATTAAAATCGCAGAAAATAGTATAATTGCCTGCCAAGGTTATTGTTATGATGCGTCCACGCGCAAGTAGATGTCGCTTCAATATAGTCATGCTTCTTCGCTCTAGGCTTCCAAGTCTAGAGTCTAATGGCGGTTCAAGGTTTCTCAATCCTGATGGAGTACAGAACAGTACCTCGAAGTACCACGGAACATAATCATGCAGTTCTCGAAGCCCACACGTGGGTATTCCGTTCTTTTTACGAATGTTTTTTTTGTTGCTACTCCCTCGCATTGCAACAGACATTTCACTTACGGTACTTCCCTTCAGACAATTAACCAGAATTCTTTTGAAGCAAAAAAGACAACTGAATTTTAGAAGAATTGGTAATTTGTGTAGTGGATCCCCACAAAACGGAACTAATAAATTCCTGGGCGCGTTCCTTTGTGCGAAAAGGATTTTCCTTTGAGGTTACATTGTACATTACAATATTAAATTTGTTCCAGACACTGACCAGAAGAAAATGATTAACAATAAAAGTTGGATATTTTCAGCATGAAATTGAGAATTTAAATCTTCATTAGGAAATTGAAGTAATTATTAAAAAATGTTCATCACAACACAACGTTTTGATACAAGAATATGGAACTAAGGCATACCCTTTTTCTCTAAATTAAAACAAATTATAAATTTGAATTCAAAACGGGATAAAATTCGAGTGTTTTGAGGTCAAAAATTTTTGTTACGGGAATGACCTTTTCTGCCTAAATATTTCGCAGTGCGAGTCTTCTGTAATGCGAAGACCCACGGTAGTTGAAAAAAATTTACTTTCTGAATTTATCTTCCAGTAAACTAGACATTCAGTAGCTATCAAACCCACCCCAAATAATACTTCCCAGAATAAATGCAAAGCTGTACTGAAATTCGAAATTCTATCTTTGGTTACTGCTTTTTTTTCAACGTCTGAAATTGCCTTTCCCGACTTCGGTGATAAGATTCAATAAAGCTTTGTCGCTGTCAAGATATGATACAGGACTGTACTGTTTATCGTTTATTTTTAAAATTGGAGGAACCAAATAAAATTCCCAGTGAACCTCCCGAGATTTTCAGAGTGGAAGCGATTCATAGGGTTAAAGGAAGGGTTAACACGATACGCCTGGTCTTCTTTTTGCCGGATAAAGTAACTGCACACGCCGGCGTGCAAAATACAAACAATAGGGGCTTTGTTTATTGCGTTTACACGAACGAAGGGATGACAAAACGCTACTCTCGGTTCGGAGGCGAAAGATACGTCTGTTTGTTTTAGCTCATGCACACATGAACACTGCGCCACTCCACCGCATGAATCATCACAGAAGCCCCGCCTGGCTCATCGCAATACCCATTAATCCTCTCCCAGACCCGGGGATTCTTTACTACTCTGTTCCGCAATTCCGTTTTCTATTGCCCACCAACGAGGGTACAGTTACTTCCAATTCCGCCGGAATGAAAAGAAAAAAAAACGGGCCATCATTCATGAGTCGAGTACCACACTTACAGGAAGTTCTTCCTTGGCAAGTACGTGTTCTTGTTGAGAGAGAAGCACTTCGGCCTGCTTGGCATTCGTCAAGAACATTTCCAAGTTGAGGGACTGCGTGAGCAAGGCCTGGCGGTTGTCCCACATTTGCTGCAACTCTTCCCAGCCGTGTCGCAAAGCGCGCAGGCGTTCACGCAGGAACATCCATTGGGCGTCTTGTTGCTGCTCCGGCGACGCTTCCTGATTACAACACGCACACATGGCAATGAATTTCCATAAAAAAAAGACATTTTCGAAATAAAAATGAGTCACGAAAATTTCGAATTGGTACTAGAATATCTTGCCTTGAGAATTAGGTTCTTAATAAACTTTTCTGGCAAAAGTACGGTACCAAAAAAGATTGTGTACCTCATAAATTAATTAGGCGAAGTACCATATTCGCTTGAGTACTACGCACGAATTTTTTAAAAATTAAGAGAAAAAGCGAGGGTTAGCATCATAAGCGGGTATAACATTTTCAAAAAGTTCTGAAGTGCATTTGTACTCCATTCCAACCGGGGATTTTTAAGCAATTTCAAAGACGATTGAAAAATGGGAACAATGGAATATTAAAGTTGAATACAATTCCGGTCAAAATTTTAAAATTTAAATTCTGATGCATTTTACTTTCAAAATATTGCAATCTTCAAACTCTGGAAATGGGGTGCTCGTCTTACTCGGGGATACGTTATACAAATTTCACGCTGAAAATTTTAGGGGCGTGTGTTACTGAAGTAAATACTGTACGGTGATGAACAGTTACGATCTTAAATTTTTCAGTTCCGTACTTTCCTTTTTGAGGATCTGCGTACGTGAGCTTTGATAGCTCATAAATCATGAGAGTACTCTTTTTCAAGTTCGTGATTTGTGCGTGTGCTCTGGTGGTAAAGTACTTGGTCTTTTGCGTAAACTTGACGCTCCTTCATACGGCAACTTGGTTGGTTTTTCTTCCTCGAATGCATTTTACATTCATTAAAATCCTATAATTCCCTACGCACCTACTGTACATCAACCAGGGGAATCAGACTCAACTCTCCGCAGCTCAAAATTGACTGGACCCGACTTACAGTAGGGAAGGGACAAGCTTTAGAAATACTGCATGGGAATCTTCAGTATCGTAATATACATAGTCAACAGGATTAGGGAGAATAATTGTAGGACATACTGTACATGGTTTATTCGAGCCAACTAAAATAAAATTCTCGACGTTTCTCACCTGAGTGATCTTCTCTCCGTACGCCATAGTACGGTCATAATCATCAGCGTAATTCTCGATCTCGTCCTGGATAGCAGCGTGTTGTTGCAGCAACTTTTCTGCCTCGTGCAACGATGACGGAGTATCTTCCGACGCAATTTCCTTTTGAGTCTTGGTCAACCAGGCACCGAAATGGTCCAAATCCCGCAAGAACCTGTGCAGATCTCCAGCCTCTTCCAATTTCGCATCCTTCTCCTTCAACAACTGCGTCAACTCGCCCCACGATCCTCGAATACTGTCCAATCCAGTCTGGATCCTGTCCTTTTCCTCGGGGAACAATTCCGAGATCCTCGCGGAATCCGATTCCAGAGAATCTATCTTGGCCTGAATCGCAGCCAGGTCTCGTTCCAATCCCATCAAACGGCGCTGCAGAGTCATGATGCCCGTCAAATCCGTACCCAACTCCTCCGTGGAGTGAAGAATCTTCTTTTTGTCCTCGATCCAAGCCAAAGACTCGCGGCATTCGATATGGAACGTTTGCAACCAATGGTTTGCGTTCAGTTCCTCTCGCTTCACTTCCGCCTTCTCTCGCAAATCCGCCCAGCGTTTGTTCAAGCTCTCTTGACGCTGCGAAATCTCGTCCGAGTTCGGGTGTTCCACATCGAGTAATTGCCTCGCGAGTTGGTTCACCACATTCATGCGAGACGCATTCGCATTCATCTCGCCGTCAAATCCTTCGTAGCGATGCAAAAGAATCTCCACGTCTTCCATGTCTCGAGCCGGGACCATAGTGTCCAGCATTTTCTCCTTCTCTCCAATCCATTGTTCGACTCCATCAGCTTCGGATAGCAACTTGTACAAGGACAGAGCGTCCAGAAGACGCTGTTTGCGCAGTTGGGACAATTCCATGAGTTCGCTGTAGCGTCTTTCGATGCTCTGCAACCGATCAATGACTTCAGCAGCGTCTCGGTAGTCTTCACCGAGTTGCTTGGCTTGCAGTCCCAGAGAGTCAATTGTGGTTTGATACGACTTGAGCTCGTCAGTCACGTCCTTGTGTTTGCGAAGTAGAAGCTGAACGTTGCCTTCGTCACGACCAACATCTTCCGACGAGACCAGACGGAGAATATCCAGCATCCAGGTGTCGACATCGTCGGCGTCGGTGAAGAACTGGTGGTAATCCACAGCTTCGGTCAGTTTGCGACGTCGGAATGCAGCCGAGTCTTTCAAATTGTTCCACAGTCCTTGAATTTCCCGGATCTGGGCCTCGATTTTATCGGACCCGAAGTGGTTATGCTGCATTAGTTCTTCGCCAGACTGGATGACGGCTGCGAGTTGGTACTCGTGAGTATTGAGCTCGTCCTCGAGCATTTTGTGCTTGGAGAGAAGCAGGTGGATCGTCATGAGGTCGTGACCAATGTCACCAGTGGCCAGAATATGTTCCTTTTCGCGGATAAAGGACTCTTCTTCAGCCATATCCCAGTAGAATTGCCACAGCTGGCGGCTGTCTTCAAGATGAGCTCTGCGGTCCACTGCCAGTCTGACAAGTTCCTCATACGCTCGCTAAAAAAGTTTCAAAAAGCGAAGAAACATTTAAACCCTGAACTCGATGTCACACGAAAATCAAATTGAGAGGTACTTCCTCTTGTAGACTATTTGATTTGGTAATTTCTCGTCACAAGCTATGCCTCGTATTGTACATTCATGAGGCTTATTCAACCAACACATGCGAAGATAGATTTTACTCGAGTACAAGAGTAAGTTACTTACTTATATTAATTACTTATACTGTATATTAATTGGTTGATATGCTACATACATTCCAACTGAGATACAGGAGTACTCCCTCTACAACAATTTACTATGTATTGTATAAAGAAAATGTTTGGATTATACTGTATAGGGTTCTAGCTCCATGTTATGGAGGTTCTCTACTACGAATTTTTGATCTGGTCCCTTGAATTTTGTCACGAGAGGTCACCTATATTTGGCTTGGACTACTACACCAGGTCAAATTCGATCCGATTCCATAAGTAGGGTTTACGACGCGTTTAAGTATGTCAGTGAGGCCACTGGTCTGTTGGGTTAGGGGCATTATCTCGTATTAGAGGTAAGTTCATTCAAGACTATGTTGTAGACTCAACAACAATCTTTCTTCAACGGTTTTCCTTGTAATTCTCCAACAACTAATTTTTCTGGTTCCCTGTATTTCATTGCAGTGAAACCATATACGATGGGTATAAAACTCTAAGAGACCAAATAACAAATTCGTATCACAAAAAATCAATAAACAGCAAATGTAATAAATTTTACGGAGCAAATTAAAGAATGAATATTTTTTCTTCAACAAACCTGGAGTTTCTGCAAGCGGTCTTCAAGAAGTTCTGGATTGCAAGGTTTGTATCCCTCGGTGGTTTCTTCATCCAAGAATCGCTGGCTTTGCTGAACAACCATCTTGACTCGGTCACCAAGCACGTTGATGTCGGCTTCAACCAAAGCATGCTTTTGCAACAAATCTTCCACGCCCATGAGATGCTTGCCGTAGTCTTCGTTGAGAAGACGACCCTTGATCTCTTCCATGGAATCCAAAATGTATAGCATTTCCTGGAAGTTTTGCTGCAACTGCATCGAGAGTTCCAGGCGCATACGACGGGCTCGGAGCAGCTCCAACAAAAATTTCCACAAACGGAGTACATTGTCCTTTCTCGCCGTGATCCTGTTGATGTCGTAATAATTCTCCGCTTCGAGGTCTTGAGCCACTGCGACCACAGCTTGAACACGTTCCTCGTAAGCAAAGATGTCGGTTTCGATGGCCTCGTGCTTCTTGGCCGCGGCTTCGACAGCTGGTAAGTCGAATCCGAAGTTGTCCTGCGACACCAGCCTCTGGTTCTCACTCAACCAAGTCTCACGCATTCCGGACTTCTTGTCGAATCTTGCTGCCAGTTGCACCAGTTTCTCCTGACGGATCAACTCGTCACGCAAAGCCAGTTCACGCTCATGTTCAGCTTTCTCCAGTCGATCCCATGCACGATTGATGTCCGATATCATGCGTCCTTCCTTCGGTAAATACGGCTTGAGATTGTTGGCACGCATTTGCGACTGCAGAGTAAACAGCATGACTTCCAGGTTGCCCTTCTCTTCGAATTTCGGCGGCTTTTCCAAGTTACGATACGTGCTGAACTCGGTGAGCTGTTGCTGAACTCCTTGAAGCGAGTTTGCGAAATTGCGATCGCCGAGGGCATTGATGGTACTTTGGATCCAGGCGAGTAAATCGGAGGTCAAACGCTCGTATTCCATCATTTGCTGTTCCGTGTCCATGGCCATCCCAACAATTTTCGCGATCCTACGTCCTTTCACTGATTCTTCCTTCATCTTCGAGAAGTAGTGGTAGTATGTGACGACGTACGTTATGATGGATTTCTCATCCGGGCACTCAACGAACACATCTTAAAAGGGGAAAAACCAGATTATACTACATCCTCGTCCGTTTAATCCCGAATTCTAGATGCTGAACGGTCCAAAACAAGCTGCTTTCTAATAACTAGGTGCAAAAAAGTATGGTTACCTTCGGCATCGAGAAGTTTGGTAAGTCCGAGCTTGTCTTCGGCAACATTAAATGCGCTATTGAGGTTATGAATGGCATGAGTTTTCGAAAGTTTGTCGAAAGCGATCAAATCGGGTCGGTGCTTATGGATCAAAGCATTGAACGCAAGGCCATCACGCCAAGACGTCGTGAAGTTTCTAACGCTGACGTTCTGGTAGCCAGCGGTCTTCATTTGACACCACAGAAGCAAGGCATCTTTGGCAGATTTCGTTTCTTTGTTGTCAATCTCCTCCACGATGATGTCTTGGATCTGAAAGGATTCGCAGACATGAAGATATCATCGGACCATAACGTTTGAGGAATGATGAAAATACCTGGAAACGCAAGATGATCGTCCAGATCAAACCAAGAGTCAAGCGCGAACTCCCATCGACGATGTCATGTGGTCCCATATTTTCCAAATGAACACGTTGGTCTTTCAAGAACTGGAGGGCTTTCTCTACGTTTTCTAAGCAATGAATCCTCATTTTGCCTTTGGTTGGTCGCGGCTACAAATAAACAGTCCGTTAGTAATAATCAACGAATGGTGATGCAGACTACGTACCAAGCACTCTCCGGATAGCACCTCAAGTAACATCATAAGCTGCTTTCCATCGCGTAGATCCACGTACAGATCCGCGATGCGCGAGTTCATCCGTAATAAGTGCGAATTCACCCATTTCGTAAAGGTCTTCTTTTGAACGCTCTCCCGTTCATCTACAGATCAATCTCAGTTCTCAGTGACTACTTCAAATAGAAAAAATATAACGATGTTCTTACCGGCAAGAGCACGAATTCTCGATCTTTCGAATAAACGAGAAGATGAGTTGCCTCCATCATACTCGAAATCATCTTGGTTCTCCCAACTGATGACTCCGATATCAGTCGTCATCCTAGCTGCGAGTTAAAGCCTTTCGTCAAAGCGGCTGATCACATAAATTTTTCACGAAGAAAATGGCATCCAGAAAGATTTCCTGCTCACATAGCAAAAGAACCCACATTCAAGAAAAGCACACGCAACTCCTGTAAATGATTAGCACGAACAATGTTACACACTGAAACGGCGACTTGCACACTTGACGAGGAGAACCCACTGACACAGTAAGTACGAATTCAGATACAACCTCACCCTCTTCCACCGCACCTAGTTCGCAGGAAGTATGGATGACACATGCAGACATTATTATTTTTTTCCTCAGCCGCTAATAAGCGGCCGCCTGAGGTACCACCCCAGACCCACCAATAGGCGCTTCGTTTCAGAAGGGTCCGGTTAGGCAATTCACTTCCGGTCCATCGTCGCCGTTGTCTTGGTTTTCATGAATTATTATGTACTTAACTATGATTCTCACCAACTATAAAACTCATTCATAAGAGAGATCAAATTACCAGAAAATGTTAATCCTATGGGAAAAATTGATCTCACTGTTTTGTGGATAAGCATCTCTTCCATGTCGACGTAAAATACGGTAGCGTCGTTGTACTTCAAGTTCTTTCTTCTTGCGGGGGAATTTAATTTTGAGAAAAATCACTGATAAAACAAATTTAAGATTAACGATTGGTCGACAGGGCAGGCAAGGATGATCTGAAAAAGAGGTCAAGTGATCCGCGCAAAAACCCGGACCCTCCTAACAGGTTGTCAAGGGCCAGTGTATCATAATGGCTGCTCGCATTGGAGCTATCCATGAACTTCAAACTCAGTTCATCCATCATGCTCGGGGCAATGGTAGGAATGCGTTATTGTACGAAGGAATCTCGCATGAAAGATTAATTCTGGTTGACTTGTTAGGATAATTGCCATTTGTGTTGTCTGAGTGATTTCAAATTATTTTATGTATTATCCGTTTATCGTAAAGCCCGACGCTACTTGGTTTATTCCGTGCGTGTATGTATATTGTGTGATCGCATGGAGTTGTAGCGCGGTGCTTGACTTTTTCGGATTCTCTTGTGCCAGGAATTTTCCTCATGAAGTGATCGCTGAAGCGGCTTGATATCGTTTCGATCCAAGGACTGCAACCAGGCTGCCAGTAAGAAATCGTTTCTGCACTCCTTCGCAATACTGCATGTGCAACGAAGTTATATATTTTTTAAAGCTGTGGAATTGAATTTAGTCCTGGAAACGATCGGCGCAAGTTTGCTTCAGGTGATCGCCCGCATTCATTTATTGAAGGAATTATTTCAATCTCAAATTTTTTATGTGCATCAGGTGCAGTTCAGCACACAATGAACCCCGATGAAAAGTCTGCTCTGAAGGAGCTCGATGGATGGATAGAACAACTCAATGAGTGCAAGCAGTTACCGGAAAATCAAGTTAGGACTTTGTGTGAAAAGGTATCGTACGCTTTCAACGCTTGCTAGAGTATTTCTTCATCAAGTTCGTTTTTCAGGCTAAGGAAATCTTGGCGAAAGAATCAAATGTGCAAGAGGTCAAATGCCCTGTAACCGTTTGTGGCGATGTACACGGACAATTTCATGATCTCATGGAGTTGTTTAGAATCGGAGGCAGGTCTCCCGACACAAACTATCTCTTCATGGGTGACTACGTGGATCGAGGATACTATTCTGTGGAGACCGTGACTCTTCTGGTAGCCTTGAAGGTATGCATTATTTCATGGTACCTAATCTCTTCATGTATGCGAAATTTTATCTGGCTCCATCCTTGAAGTGAGCATTTGTCCGCTGAAATTTTTGGATTGGCCTCGAAGGAAGTTCGGAAGCAAGTGTGATTCGTCTTTAATCAGAAGCTGAAATCAGTTTTTTATGTAACGGAAAAACGCATGAGTTGGAAGAATGAACTATTGAACCGTGAACTATTGAACCGTGCTTCTTCTAAAGTGAGGGCTGGCGGTAATGAATACAAACTTTCCAGGTGCGCTACAAGGATCGAATTACTATCCTGCGTGGCAACCACGAATCTCGTCAGATTACCCAAGTATATGGGTTCTACGATGAGTGCTTGAGAAAGTACGGGAATGCGAACGTGTGGAAGTACTTCACGGACTTATTTGACTACCTTCCTCTCACTGCGCTGGTGGATTCCCAGATTTTCTGTCTCCATGGTGGTCTTAGTCCATCCATAGATACTCTGGACCATATCAAAGCGCTCGATCGATTGCAGGTAAAATAATAATTATGAGTATTTTTCATGCGTAAATTTAGATTTTATTGCTCTCTTGGAATCACCGTACTAGCGACGAGTCAGAAGTGAAGTTCTCTGACATTGATTATGAAGTCGAACGTCTTTTAAGTCAAACTTCGGGGGAGCTGAAAAAAATCGAAGAAGGGAAGTTTCGAGTTAGGGAAACAAGCGTTCGTGTTTGGGAAGAAAGAAGAATTAGAGGAAATCTAAATTGATGACATTCTGGGCATAAATAGCTTCTTAAATGAGTTGATAGGATGCTGAACTTGGGGAAAGGGTTTATTTGCCCAAATATTCTTCCAATTTTTTTCTGAACACTTCTAGTTGCTTTCGTCTTTCCTATGTCAATTAAATAAAAGCCAAAAGGCTTTAAAAAAAACTCGAGTTGTGGAGGTTTGAGAGGGAGAGCCTTGGGGAGGTTTTTAATGCAGCGTTTCTGGAAGAATTCGGACAGGGGCTTGAAAAGAATTCGACATAGGGAGGTTAGAGTTGTCTGGGTTCTTCTTTTTACTGTAATATTGTACAAGACTCTCCACGATTAAACCATCTTTTTTTAGGACACAAAATTATTTAAAGAAATCCACGACTTTTTTCCGATCAAGGAGTCATATATTTTACTTCACTGAGCTGGATGTTTCACGAAATAGTGTAATATCCAATAACACTGAATTTAGTTTACTTGTACAGCGTCGCCCTTTAATTCAAGCTGAATTCTGTGAAGGAAATGATTATAATATTTTATCACTATTATCAGTATCAGTTTTCGGTAGAGAAGGAGATTTTACTTAGCATGCGAATCTAATCGAAGAGTCGAGAAGTTCTTCGTTGTCTAAGTTGAAAATACGGTCGAAAAACCTGGTTTTCGTCGGACTAAAGATCAATTGCTTTGCAGGAGGTGCCGCATGAAGGGCCAATGTGTGATCTGCTGTGGTCAGACCCTGACGATCGCGGTGGTTGGGGCATTTCTCCTCGCGGAGCAGGCTACACCTTTGGCCAGGACATTTCAGAGACCTTCAATCATTCAAATGGGCTGACTCTTGTTGCTCGCGCGCATCAGCTTGTCATGGAGGGATACAATTGGTTCGTAACTTGTTCGCTTTTCAAAAAAATCCTGTAGTAACATACTTAATCCCATTTGTTCGTTCAATTATCCAGGTGTCACGATAGAAACGTTGTCACGATTTTCTCAGCACCCAATTATTGCTATCGATGTGGAAACCAGGCGGCGATCATGGAACTGGATGACTGCTTGAAGTACTCCTTGTGAGTTTTCGAACCATTTTTATTTATGCTGAGGTGGAGGACGCTTTTAGAAAATTCGAAAACTCGTATGTCTAAGCAAACATGGGAGGGATTATTGTCATTCTTCCATGACCGAAAATATCGGTATCAAGACTGCTAGAAGTATTTTCTTCGTCTTGCCCAACGAAACATCGGACTCGATCTGCTGTGATATTGCACGAATTACGCGTTAACTGTGTTTCCCTGAAAATGAAACCAGGGAAACGGATTTAATCAAACAGTTCTTTGAAAATTGCAAGTAAATCTCACTTGTGTATTGTATTAGGTGAGCAGTTATTTTTGCTTATCAAATTAGAAGTTCAGGAAGACGACGATCCGGAGTAAGGTTAGAATAATGAAATTGGTGTGACTTCAATGCATACAGAAATGTTCATTTAATCAAGTTTTAAAGTATGATACACGTATTCTTATGGTCTTTCATTGAAAAAAAAAAGTGCCGTTTTCGACTATTTTCTCATGAATCACGCTCACCCTTGGCGCCGAAAATTCCGCTGTAAAAAAAATCGCCTTATTTCGAATTTTGATTTATTTTCTTATTCAAGAATCGTTTATGTACGGTACATGATTGGATGGCGTACATGTACTGTATCGTACCTCAACTCTGGTGATATTGGGTAAACTTTGAACTCGAAACAGGATTTTACGTTAGGAGTCTTGCCTTGAAATTTTGCGACAGTTTATTCATTGAAAAGATCGGATCTCCTGAAAAAAAAGGAACATCTTGGACATAATTTTTCCATCATGAACAATCTTCCAGGTTTTAATGATTCTTCATCGATGCGTTCAGTGTCAGTTTTTTTTATTACTATATCTATTTGTTTTTCTCTATTTTCACAGCTTGCAGTTTGATCCTGCTCCGAGGAGGGGTGAGCCGCATGTCACGAGGCGTACCCCGGATTATTTCTTGTAATCTGAATGGTCATAATACGCGTTCTGTGGAAATCGCTCCTGGAGAGGTGAAGTATGCTTGAATTAGGAAGATTTGCGTTAAAGCTTCGGTGGGATGGAAAATACCTTGGAATAGCCGACTCTTGATTGAAAGAGAAAGAACCAGAGATTGTTTTACTGAAGGAACTTACAGGTACTTGAATTTGAAAAATTGATGTGGTTGCCGTTTGCCGATGGCACAAACACATTTGGCCGACGAACATAACCAGTCCAGTATGGAACTTTGAAATAGAGCGCATAAAACTTCGAAGTGTCGTAGGAAATATTTGAGTAAATGACAGTTGTTCCGTGTCGTCATCGGCCCGAATCTTTTGCCCGTTTCATCCGCTTTTTACACCTGTTTCAATCGAGCCGCTGTTTTTTTTTTTTTTTTAGACTACAGTTGAGAATGCCTGTTTCATCAGAAGGAAAACAAAATTATCGAATGTTGGACGTATTGCGTGATTCAGACGGGGGAAATAAGAACGAGAGCTGGTTTTTCTGTTTCACGCGTTCCATTTTGAGAAATAGAGTTTGGAGACTATGGTTTCTTGTTGAAACTGCCCGAGTCCTTCGCTTTTGAGTTTGTTCTATTTTATCGTCGCCGTGGTACAAGTTGGATGGATGCTGCGAGGGAAAAAATTGTAACTATAATAAACATTGTCTCCTAAAAAGAGTTTATTTCAATCGTTTTTTTTTCCCGATACTCGTTGAGTTTTGCTATTTGAATTTATAATAGAAATTATTTCAGGAAGAGTCCCATTCAAAGCTAGGTCAGCCCTTGTGTGATACAGTGGCAATGCTTTCACACACAAAAAGAAAAACGTATCATATTTATGCAAGTACCACACGCACCTTTCTTTCCAAGCAGAAAATTAGGTGCGTGTCAAAGTTGGGATCAAATTTTGCAAGGTTTTTTTGTTTTCTTTCAATGATACGCATTTTTCCTTACCAATAGTTTATGATTTGCATGAGACAGAAACATCAACATTGAACTTAACTTTTGAGTGGGCTTTTACAGTTTTTAGATTTTTCATGCTGTGTTTGAAGTTTTGATTTTTTTAAAGGATGCTAAGTTGCATATCTTAAGCAGGGATGGCATTTTTTCACAATTCGGGCAGAAACTATGATGCGTATTTTACTAGAGGGTATGTGGTACTTGAGTAAATACTGTAAAACGATGAAGCTTAGGAGGAATTCGTGCAAGGCTGAGGTTGATGTGACTTTCAGTGACATTTAACACGCAATTGTCAATTTTAATGATCGGAAATGGAGTACTGTACTGATATGGCTGACAGTAAAATTTATTCTTGCTGACCTAATTTGTCTTTAAAAATAACAAGAAAGGAATAAAACGGATTCTGAGTTTCTCACTGCGGTAGTTCGAAGTAACATTCCAGTTAACCAGTATGAAGAGTTCAAATTGGCCGATTTTTCGGGTAAAGAATAAAATTTTCAAATTATTAGATCAATGATTTTTTTTATACTTCAGTCGGAAGTTTTCAACGATTTGTTTGATGTATTGTACTGAAATTTTCCGGTTCGTTGAACTGAACTCGGGTTATTTGAATGTCCAATCCTAAAAAATTTAATTTTCCTGTTACAAGTAAATTTTTTTTCAAATTTGCGACTGAAACTGAATTTGTATTACTGTTTAAAATTGGAATCCATGCAGATGAGGATTGCAAAACTCAGCGAGAATTCTCATGTCATCTCCGGCGTTTTTTGCGACTTGTGAACAGTATGTTTTTCAATGTTTTTTCTCATCTCTGCCAATCGTTTAGTATTGATGGCATCCGGCTGAATCTCTCGTTTTACCCGGAATTACCCGGAGTGCGAATCTCCCTTGTGGTGAAAATGAGAAATCTCGTCGAATGTTTCGCGTTGTCAGTATTGTTCATCGTGTGTGTTGCTGCTGAAAATTCTACGGAGCGGGACGTGACGGATCCTTCGACTGCGGCTGACGAAATCGTTTCATTTCCCCGCGTCTCGACTTCTTTTCCCGAAATCCTATTGCCTCCCACTGTTCGCCCATTGTATGATCACTGGTGCAAGAAACCGGCAAAAAGCGGAAAATGCGAGAGGATGATCCCTGGATTGCGGTGTTTCGACACGGAGTTGCCGTATAACTTCACGAGCAGCGATTTGTCGGGAATGACGCAACAAGAGGCTGAGGTGAGGTCCGGAAATGACGGAAATTTTCCTCAAGTCAAGTCACAGAGAAATCTCTTCAATTATTTTTTTCCTTGATGAAGAGTTTTCGATTTGAAAGTTAATCAATTTTTCTGTGATTTTCACCATCAAGGTCAGCAATTAAAGCAAACCTCGATTTAGTGCCTTTTGTCCGAGCACAGTTTGTGAGACTAAATCTGGAGCATTTCGACCATTACTGTACTTCTTAGCTAACGGATGAGAAACTTCAGGAAAAAAAAACTGGGGCCAACATTCGTAGCATAACTTTAATTTCTACAGGATACAAAATAATTATTTACAGGAGATAAAATCATGGAAGACACACACAGCTCAACACTTGAAAAGTTTTTTAAAATTTGAATTGGATTACAGCGACAACTGTGTCCAGCACGATTGTGCATGTCAAAAAGTGGGTTCATAACCTCTATTTAGTGCCATCATTTCTCCTGGCACATTTTGTTGCACTGAGCAAAGGTGGCACTGAATTCTGGTTATTGTAGGAGAGGAAGGCTAACTTGAGGGCTTATTCTATAGTCAAAATAAGCTTGTTTAAAAAATGGTTAGGTCATTGAACTTGTTTCATGAGGGAAAGCGTCAACAAATGATTCGAAGCTCAAATGCAGTGTTTTTGTAATGTATTATAGGTTATCTACTGGGACAGAATATTTTAGATTTTTCCACGTATTCTGACAAGTAAAGGATAAGAGATTTTTTTTAATATTTGCATTAACCTTTCAATGAAAGCCCACAAATCCAAGATCAAGGTTAAAAATTATCCTGAGCACACGCATCTGCATCTCAGTGATAACCTCATGATATCTCTTGCAAAATATCTTCATTTCTTTGATTGTGGCCCTTTTTTTTCAAGGGATTTTTTGTTTCACTTGATGGGTGTTTCCCTTGAACACAAAGGAGAAAGATTTATTCCATTGAAATTATCAAAGATGTTCCAATTGACAGTATTGTATTCATAGTTCATCGCAAACTTTTTATCGAATTATTTTCCAGCATGAATTGAAGCAGTGGGAGCCGTTGAAGAAGATCCCGAAGTGCTGGAATGTGATCCAGGGCTTTTTGTGTTCCGTTTATTTCCCCAAGTGTTCACCAGAAGACCCACCAGTTGTTCATTATCCATCTCAGAAGCTCTGCAAGATCACTCGCGGGCCTTGCAGACTCGTGGCCCAGATGCACGGCTGGCCATCGTACCTATCCTGCGAAAACGAAGACGGGTCTCCGAAATACGCTTCTCAGTGCAAAGACGAGCTTCGCGACGTCAAATTCAATACCACTGCGGGATCGTGTCCACCGTTGATGGTGCCCAGTGCGGTGGAGTCCACGTGGTACCCGGGGGTGGACGGGTGCGCTTGGGGTTGCCACGACCCGCGGTTTTCCGAAGAGGATCACGCAGCTATGGTGTATTTCGTGAAGCTGGGGGCGAGCGTTTGTTTGTCGGCGAACGTGTTGGCCGTCCTGACGTTCATGTTTGATTGGAAGGCGGCGAAAAAGTATCCGGCGGTGATTGTTTTGTACGTGAATGCCTGTTGGGGCATGATTTGCATCGGGTTCTTGATGCAGTTTTCGAGGGACGAAGCGAAGGAGGATATTGTTTGCACCAGGAACCGGATCAGACGAGTTGGTGAGCCGAGGTGAGGCATTTTGGAAGTTTGCTTCTTGGGATCGGTTTGCTTATTCTTTGAAAAATACCGAGAGTAGTCCCAGTTTGACGTGGCCTCTGATATTTCTTGTGTAGGTGTGATTGAAAATTAAATAAAATTGCGACGTAGCCTATCATGTTTCAATGTTATGGAATGTTTTTATTTTTTATATTTTTAAAATTTTGCCCCCATTTTTCTGTTTGATGAACACTTTCCAGTTAGAGCCAGAGTTCTCCACCCACGTCACAGGGACTAAAAATGTGTCAAGCCTGCTAAAAATTGAAATTGTTTCTCATTTTACCCATTATCCTCTATACATTTTAGGTTTCGGTCAAAACAAAACAAAAAATTCGTTAGCCTGACGATTCTTTTGTCTTGACGTCGCGAAGCTCGGATTTTAAATTTTTCAACGCTTTTTTATCGAAAGACGCTGTCAAAACACAGTTCCGTTAACTAACTTACAGTCCCGTTAAAATGAACATTGGACGGGTATCAAGTCTTTAGTGAATTAATTTTATGGTAATCTTAAGGAAACAGTGAGTTTCCTTATCTGATCATTTCAATTTTGCGTTGACCTAATTTGATATTATGCTTTTGTTTTTTTTTTTAGGTCTGGGGAGAATTTGCTGTGCTTGATGGTTTTCATCCTCATTTATTACTTCATGCTCGCAGCCATGGTTTGGTTTGCTTTCCTGTCCTATTCCTGGTTTCTGAGCTTCAGGGCTCTCGGTAAGTCGATTGACATCAATTGATTTCTTATTGGGTTTGGCTGGTTGCCATTGTACCCTACCTTTCTGATTACGGGGATCAGTTGAGCATCTTTCAGAACCAGTAATTAAGGAGAAAGCTTCCAAATTTACGATGAAGAAACCAATTAAAATCGACTGTCGCTGAGAAAAGCATCGTGTTTTCATGCATCTCGAAATTATGCCTTATCTTGAAAAAAATGACGAGTTTCGGACGATCTTATCACTATTGTTACTCATCAGCATAAAGTGGCATGAGATTAAAATTAAAAGAAATCGAATCACGCGTCAGAAAATATTTCGTATTCACGCGTTTGTAGAAGGAAAATTCGTCTATTTATTATTTTGAATTCCGATTCTGCCTCTCTGGTACAGTAATGAAATTGGGTCAAATCGTTAAAATTACGTGAGAATCCGGATTTACGCCTAGACTCGTAAAGATTTTATCGATTGTTGTGTAACTGGTTTTGCTTACTGTATCTCTTACTGTAGGGAAAGTGGAGCATAACTTGGAAAAAAGATCAGGGAGTTTTCATTTGGCCGCTTGGAGCATTCCTCTGGTTTTCTCCATAATTGTGCTGGCCCTTGGGTTGGTGGAAGGCTACCCACTGACTGGGGTTTGCTTCCTCGGGGGAGCCGAAGCTCATCCTGAAGCAAGGTTGGCGTTGTTGTTGATCCCTGTTTCCGTGGGGCTCTTGACTTCCGGATTCTTTCTCATCAGAAGTAAGTACTGTGTATCACACTTATTTCAGTCTGTTGGTTGTTTTTTTTTCATCGGTATTGTCATTTTTCCTTTGTTGAGGAGGAGTTGAATCACTGTCGTTTTCACATTTGCACCCAATGTCCTCAATTATTTGATCCACCATGTCAATTATACGAGGGGTTGCCCTAAGTTTCCGGAGTTGGGCTGGGAGTTCAGGAAAATTTAATATTTTTTCAAATGATTGGAAAAAATTAAGGAAACGTAGATTGATTTATTTTCTGCATTTAATTTTTTTGGTTGAAAATCCGGGATTTGTAGGTAGGAATCTATGTCGAATACATTTTTAGGGCAGTTATACAATTTCTGTGTTTTGTCATCTTTCAAAAGCTGAGCTGAGAAAAAGAGGTTTGCATTTTTTTTTTCGAATCGATAGCTTCTCTTGAAATGAATTTAAATTGAGTAAAAGTTACACAGTATTGGAAAATAGGGAGCGAATCAATTTAAAATCTGCCTCCATTCCTTATTTTTCGGAATGGTTGTCTTCTTTATTCTGAATTTTTCGGAAATAACTGAATGAAATGCGGGTGTATCTAAAGAATGTAATATGTGTACACTTCTTCAGCGACAGAAAAATGAATTCAGGATCATCAAGATTTTTACTCGAATGAAGCTTTCCTTTTCCTAACTCATCCTAAGTATTTAACGGACATTGATCCTAACCAGTTATTTAGTGCGAATGCTGCCCATGCATTATTTTGATTGATTATGTTTGAATTAGATTTCCTCATGTGGATTTGGTTTAATTCGGAGGAAATCCGTGTATGGATTAATTTCAGTCGTCGGTTAAAGTTACATTCGAAGTACTTTATTCCCTGTGCGCATCGACATTCAGGCGACATCAGTGTGAAATTTCAAAAAACGCGGCCCGTTTTCGGAGTTTATGGATAGTTTATCTTCACGCTTGATGCTACAGTAATTTTATTGTGGGTTATTTTATCGCTTCGTAGCTTGAAGGAGCCCTGGAATGACGCAATCTTGTCTCCCGACTGCTGTATTATCAGTCGTATATCAGGTTCATGTGATGTTTATGTTTGGCCTTCACACTGAATAAAAAATGATAAAAAAATCAAGGTCGCGAATCAAGTTTTGTTTTGATTTTGAAATTCAAGGTTTATTCATCCTGGTGCGTCTGAAGTATTGGAGCCAGGAGGTGATTTCTCCAAAAGCTCACGCGAAACTCACTGAGAGCATCGTCCGGATAAGCATATGCATCGTTGTTTTTATTGCGGCTGTGGTATTTACGCATTTTTATCACGTTTACGAATGGCACTTTGTGGACGAATGGGAGAAGAGTACTCTGACCTACTTGATGTGAGTAGATATCATTGACTATAAGTAGTATATGACCCCATTCTGGTGCCTTATTGATTAAAAAAATTTGGTTGTGAATCCAAGTGCATCCAGTTATGTACTCATTTTACTCCTGCTTTTTAAAAGGCAACTTCCAACTTTAGACTGGATTAGTACTGTATTTTTCCCTTGAACCGATGAAGTTTTTGTCCGGATTTTTTTTTCAATTGAGTTCTAAATTTTTATGCAGTAGAATTCGGTTAGATCGAATCTCGTATGAAGTGATTATTGGTTGCAGCTAATTTTTTTTAATATTTCCTTGAAGAATAGCAACAAGCTATTCAAGTCGCTTTATAACGAATTTATTTGAATAACAAGGTTTTTTCTGGTCCCAACGGCTTCGTTGTAACGAGATTTGGTTCGAATTACTTTTGCATGTAAAAAAAATGAATTGTCCAGATGTCTTTTAAATCGGACGACGATCGGAACGCCTCCGGAAAATCATTTTCCCGGATGGAGACTGGCTCCAGAACCTGGCACACTTTTGGACGTGGATTGTCGACGAGAAGAGTCCCCGAGTTTAACGTGTACTAAGCTGTACGTCGGAGCTGTTTTCGCTGTTGGTCTCGCCATGGCGTCTTGGGTTTGGACTAGACCCTCACTGGAAGTTTGGAAGCGTTTCTGGCGTCGGTTAGTTGTTGCTTAAATTTAAAAGTACGAAGTTTTTTTGAATGGGACTGCGGGGTGAGCTTACGAGAAATTTACTGCTGGTGCAGTTTGTTGTTCAGGATTCTGACGTAGATTGCTTACAAAAATAAGTTAATCTCTGGCAATGTTCCAATCTGTGATGGCGTTCTTGCGGTGTACAGTTCAGGAAGGATATTTATACCAACTTGAAGTGGTCTTACGGTACTGTAGTATAATTTTGTTAATTGTTTAGAACAGGGTGTGGTTCCGAAGTTTTGTCAGTATCACTTTAAGGTCATGTTCTTTTGTTGAAATTAGTTCAGTTAACCACGAGGTGATCATCAACAAGACTTGGCGCGAAGCTCTGTTTCGATTTAATTTTAAAAAGATTATCTTGAATTTTAGCCTTGGATCAGAACACTTTTCTCATTGGAATATCGTTGTCAGATGCTCAGATCTAGGGCTGACCAAGAATATTTTAAATCATTCGGATTACTTCGTGACTGCTTCCCAATTCATGAAACGTGCAAGTGTGAAAGGTGGACCTACTTGCATGCAGTAAATGAGGCGCGTTTTCAACTCGTTTTCTACTCTCCCGATTAACTCAGCATGGAAAAAAATTGCATCAGGGTGAAGGAAATGATCAATTTTTTCTTCATGTAAATTACTTCCGTTTCTATGTACTGTATTTGAGAAAAATTCAATATGGTAGGTACAAGTCCAGCAGAAATTATAATTTGATTCTTGTGCATTAGTTTATTTGTCTTTCTCCACTAAAATTTTAACTTCGAGGTTTTCGACCTAATGGAGTACTGTACAGTACTGGGTACGAAATTGAAGCATGTATGAAAAAAATTCGTTTATTTATGGCTTGTTGCTTGCTATTTTGTACATTCTTGGTTTTTACGCTTGCGCGTTTTTGCGCTTACTGAATTTCCAATTTGTCGTTTGTGGTTGAATGGATCACAGGACTTCGCTTTATTTTTTTTTTACTTCGTCTGGAGATTCCCCGCGATTGCAAATTAATTTTATTTCTTTCCCAACTTTGCATATAGCGCTCGCTTAATCGGTTATTAATGCGTTTCGTTATCATTTTTCTAGGGTTACAGGGAATGAGTATCAGGAGCCGACGAGGCTGAAGAAACACAAGATGATTGCTCAAGCTTTCGCAAAAAGAAACAATTTCAACTACGCCGGAAGAATATCCATCTCTTTTCATTCATCGCATGAAGATCCTGTTGGTGAGTTTTTTCTTGCGTCAATCACACTCCTCAAATTGTCACTTATAAATGAATTGGACTTCTGTGTCTTGCTTTTTTCTGCTGCTTATTCGATTGCAGCTGCGGTGAGTTTAACGGCGTTTGAAAAATATTTATTTTTTTTTAGTTCGCGTTGTTGACATTCTTGATTTTTCTAGGGTTGAAGTTCGATTTGAATAGCGTGAGTGCTGGAGAGATAAGTTCAGCATGGGCTGCAGCGATTCCGCAGTTTTTGCAGAGGCGATACGCTTTGGCGGGATTATCCGTTTTCTCTCGCAGAGGGTCGCTGGATTCTGAGTACTCGGCTTCTCATCGCAGGTGAATGATCGACACTGTTTTGACCTTTTTAAATTTCATTCGTTGCGCAAGACGCGAACTGTACAATATTTCCTCGTGGACGATTCGAGTACCTTACTTTCATAAGTTGAATCCAAGTCCCTGCAGTTCTCTACTTTTTTTTTCTTTTACTAATGTGAAATATTTTGGTTTCAGTTTATTTCGCTTAATGGTTAATAACCACAATTCAGAAGAAGATAAATGAAAAGGGAGAGGAAATTATCGCGTGTATTAAAATTATCAATGTATTATTTTACTATTTTTGGAGAGTTTACCCCGGACGTACGGTTGAATACCTGGAAAGAATCAGTCAGGTAACACTTTCATATTGCTCATAGCTACAATTCGGAATTTCTTGTGATATTTTGGAATGTTAGCTGGAAGGGAAAATAATTATTCTGGGTCTACAGAATTAACCTTCGTTTGGTTTTGGGAGAAATTTTTTTAAAATTTTCTGAGTTGGAATTTAAGGAAGAAATGTAAGCGTTAACATTTTTTCGTTTTTTAATATTGAGGTCGCCCTTTTTTAAACTTCAGCCACAAACCATCCAAAATTTGAATGTCGAGCATTAAAATGATTGCAGAATTCGAGGAAACGTAATTACAGTATAACTGCAAATGATGATGAAATATTTTAATCAGTGTAATGTATGCGTATGTACTGCTATATTTGCCTTGAATAATCATGGATGGTTTTATAGAAAAGATAGCTTAATCCACTTTCTGAAGGGAAGTTCGTATAAAGTTTTACTTTGAGAGCAATATCCAACATGCCGGATTGTTGTCGAGGTGAGGAAATCATGCATCACCCAGCAGATCAAATTTTTATTTGAACGATTAGGCCCATCTCTACCAGCTGAAAAGGGTCCCTTGTACAACCAGTTTTTAACCCCCATTATTTCGAATTACTTGAGTGGATTTTATTTTTCTCTTCGTCTCCCAGGTTTTCCTTTGAATCGAGATTATCTCGGCGGCATTCGTTGGACTCACAAATGTCCCTGCGAGTGTCGGAAGTGGAGAATGGCGGCTCTGCTGCTGTCGCGAGGATGATGACCACTACCACGACGACGACGAGGAAATTGGCCCGTCTTCGTCGTCACCTTCCCGGGGGAGATTCTTCCTGGCGTGGCAGCTTAACGTCAGCCGACAGCAACAGCTCACATGTACAGTTTTTTAAATTTGATTTTGCCTGTTGAATCCTGAACTCAAGTTTAACAGTTGTGGAAGTATTTTCAGCTTTGTAAGTGTAGTCCACATGAGTCACTCTGTGTTAACGCGTTCCTTCAATTCTCAAACGTTAGAATTTAGAACTTTTTTTCTCATGCGCACTGCCTGGATTTGGAGGGGAATCTATCTTCCAATAGCTGAACATATGCCTGTGAAACTGCTGTATTTTTCGTCGAACAAGCTTAGCTTTTGGACTGATGAATTTGTTTTATTTATTTTTTATTCAGATGCTGCCTCCCATGGTAATAGGAGATCGCGAAACACCGTTGCAGAGTCCGTCGTCGACTCGAAGGTTTCATGGATCTTCTAGTAGGAGAATGGTTTCATCTCCGCCGTACAAACCACCGCGTAAAAACCCTCCGTCACTCGGTGCTTCTCCCGCAGGTTAGTAAAAATTGTTATCTATATTTGATCCAGTCCTCGAACAAGTTCGCGACAGTCAACAGAAACTCGATATTCATGGACATGGTCACGAGTTCGTTGTAAAAGTACAGTAAATATTTCAAATTTTTTTCTTTCATTTTATGTTGGGGTTTTGCAGGCGTAATTTGTTGTACTTATGAATTCCTTTTTAATCCTGAACTCAAAATCTGAATTAGGATAAATTCTTTTTAAGGTTTGATCAAATAAAAGTCGTGAACTTGAAACATTCTCAGTGTACGTGAATTTGAAATGAGCTGTTACAATCTATAAACCAAACACACGTAAGGAACAAAAATGAAAACTGCAAGTCGGGATCCATTTTTTAAAGATATTTATGAAACGAGCCATTGAAACACAGTTGATTGAAGAAGGATTATTTCAAGTAGGATCGTTCGTGTGCGAAACGAGCTTCTATTTGAGCGCATGATCGAGTTTTCAGGTCAGCCTTCCAATAGTTCCAAAATCTCTAAATTTTGGAACTTGAGTTGAATTTTCTTAAATTTTTGAAACATTTTCATGGGTAGGATTTTTGAATGAACATTCAGACGACAACACAGATGTACACTGTCTACAAAGAAATTCAAGGGATCATAAAAAAATGCGTTGTACAAAGAATTTCATTGTAGAGAACCTGTATAACATGGTAAGAGAACCCTACGGGACCAAGCAAAATTATTCCTACACAGAAAATCGTTGTAGAGCGAGTCCACCTGTAGAGGCATAACCCATGAAAAAATGTGTATTGTTTCTTTCAATTCTAAAAGAATTATAGCCCACATTCGATTTTTATGCTTATATAGACGTTGCTGTGAAAATCCATTCCATATTTTCCCGCGGAATGCGGTCCGCTCTAAGCGTAGGTGACGTGTATCAGTAGTTAACCCTCAATGGAATGTGTAATATAAAAATTCCAAAATCTCTCCGAAATGCCTCAACTTTAACGCACTCACCAGGGAAAAGAGACGAAGAATTCAAGCAAGACGGCGAAGAAGTGGAAATGGGCCGAAGAATGACCGACGAACATCGAGAATTATTGGCGAGGTTGGAAAAAATCGCAATTCAAAACGCCGCCGCGGGAGAGCGAGAAAAGCGCTGGAAGCACCACAAACGCCGCCACCGCGCCGAAAAAGCCGACGCGGAATGCGGCACTGACGTGCCTCTTCTCAACGGCGTTCGCGCCATTCACAATGACGAGGAAGATGACGAAGAGGAAGACGACGACGACGAAGAAGAAGTGGAGATGGTGGACCGAGAAACGCAGACTTGTTCATCAGACTTCCCTGTCCAGGTGAAATTGGTCCCGAAGAATAAGAAAAAGAAGAAGAAACAACAACAGCAACAACATGATCAGGCCAATGCGGCTTGCAACGTGTCCGTGGAAGCTGAGGCTGAAGAAGAAACAACAGTCACAACTACCACCATGTTCCCTTTCATGTCTCCGTTCGGGGCTGAGAGAGACTTGAGTAATTTCGGCCATCGGGTCGATCGTTTGCTTGGGGATTTCGGGGCGAATGCCGTGGTTCAAAGACTGGGGACGCCGTTGACGGCGCCTGGGGCGACGCAGCTGCTTCCTATGCAGGAAATTTCCCCTGCCCGCCTCAACTTTGATCGTCGAGCGCAGAAGAACTTCGCCGTGAATCCGGAGGAGCAGTTACTCGCTGCGGTATGATCTGAACGATTTGGTCTCAAAGTTACGAACTTTTTGTTTTTTTTTTTGTAAATGCTACGTTGTGTTCAGTGTTTTCCATCGATTCAGTGAAAATTTCCTGAGCTATTCGTTTTGAATCTCCGACGCGTCAAATTTGTTATTTTTTCGTGCTTTCTAACGTTGAATTTCAGAGTGCACTTGAGTTCATCGAAAGTCTTGCGAATGTCTCGAAAATGATCATTGCAGTCGGATGAGGCTTGGTTGATTTTTCAGTCGAACTGATTCATTATTACCTGTACTTCATAAGAAAACATTCTTCTTCGAAAAAAAAAAATCGTTTTATTGCACCACATACCAATGAGGATTTCTAAAAATTTTGAAGGAAAACTTCGAATGAGAAAAGGCCCAATATGAATGAACCGGAGGACAAATAATCGGGTATTCGAGGAAATATTGAAGGAACGCACCTTTCCGAATCATGTGATCATGACAAACTGTCCCGAGCTAATTTTGTTATTAAGTTGACCGCCATGTTTCATCCGCCTGCTATGGAAATTCGTTCGTATCTTGTGAGACTTTCGAGTAACCCCTCGTGCATTTGATGCGACGGCATTATCAAACTTTTCTCGAATTACATTCCTTGATTGTTCATTTTAATCCTGTGACATAATGGTTTGAATAATGAATGAATTCGTGTTGTGTTGCGAAAAGAGTAACGCATGGAAAATGTTGACGATTCCGTCGTATGTGTTGTTTCCATTCATTGAACGTCCCGAGCATTTTCGTGAGCATTCTTACTTTGTGAGCTGATGAAGCGCTTCTGCCTTTCAATGCGATGTTTGATCTTACTTGTTGATTCTGGTGTGATTTGCGATTGTTTCCGCGTTCTTCATTGCTACGTGAGTTGAAAAAGTTGATTTCATTTCCCGGAATGTGATAGAATAAAAACAGACGCGTTGTCGGTTTTTTTTTTCCATCTGCAGTACAAGTGTTTTGATGCAATTTTATGCACGTGAGATGACCGGTTTTTAGAATTCTTATATTTAATTTCTAGATTCAACGCTTTTTTTATTCATCGGTTCTTGTGATTCAGTGGAAAATATGGACGGTGAAGATCTTATCTCATTCGGTGAGTGTTATTCCTGATTGGATTTGTCCGTCTCTTAAATTTGAATTGATTCTCTTGTAAGAACTATGTATGAACTTATCTTATTCCTTTCACAACTGCCTTGACCTAAGCTAATGCCGTAGTCGAGGCTTAAGTAGATCCATACCGAAGTCAGAACTACCGTAATCCTTTTCGGAATCAATGTTCGTTTAAAATTCATACAGTCTTATTTAAAACGGAAAGCTGACGTTATCCTATATAATGAGTCCCCCCGCAACGAAAATTTGCATTAGGAAATTTTTAGGGTCAAAAAAGCCATTCACATGACGAAATTCTTGAGTAAAAAAAAAGAGTGGTGGCATTTCATCATACTGTACTTCGAATTTAGATTCTGAATTTCTGAAATTTTTGAAGATTTGCAGGGAGTGAGAAAAATTGCCTAGTTTTGCTTATTGTCTTGAAAATGTATGAAATCCAGAAATGTGAGGGCCCAAACTTGTCAAAATCACTTCAATTTCAAACCAACCAGTTTCAAATTCAATATTTTTGTTGAAGAGCACTCGAATTGTATGACTTATTGTGGTCTGATGATGAGTTTATGGAACGAACTAAATCCTTCACAGTGTAATATCAAGGGAAACGCGTTTTGCATTGGAGCGTTCTCTGCATTACAAAAAGAATCCTGGACTTGATCAAGTTTCTATGTGTAGGGAATTACTGTAATGTATTGTATACAGGCATTTCGAATAACTGAACTAACGTTTGTATCCTGAATTTGAGGTGACAGATTTGAAAGTAGACACAGAAGCTGTGCTATTGCAGCTTCAATTTTATCATCAATCACTTCCTGGACCTCTGTGCAGTAATCTTGTTGATTTGTTTATTTCAGATAATGACGTGCCTACCGGGATGTTGATTGATGTTTCCCCGTTGAAGCCTTCTACCTGGGCTTCGAAGCAGAAGAAGAATAACATGATGAAAATGCCTTCATATTCCACCATCCTCAAGTCGGATGATGATGATGCCTTCATGAATGTTGAAGCTCCAGCAATGGATGAGACTCCGCCCGATTCTCCTGCAAAGACAGACAATTGTAATTGCCTGTCAAGACGATTAAAAGCCTCAAGTGATTATGACAATCTTTTTCAGCTGTTGCAGGTGCGAGTGGAAGAGCTGTGGGAGATTTTTCTGTGATTGCCGAAGAGTCAAAAAATATTGTGGCATGGATGAAAGAGGCCGAAGTTTTTTCTTTCGGCGATAAGGTCAAGTGTAAGTTTCCGTCGGTCAATTTGTTGAATTTTTTGATAAATGTCGTTCGGATTTTTCAGGTAATCCAGCGGCTTACCATAGTATTACCAGGAACCCAATCCCCGCCACCGCACCGAATTTGGCAGACGTCGTGAAGAGATACAGGCGTATTTCTTCTTCGCTTTCCACTCCAGACGCCCAAGCTCAAAAAAACGAAGGTTCTTATATTCCTTTGATACAGATTTTTTTAAACGTGATGAAGCGTTAAAAAAACCGATGAATCCCAGAGGAACAGGTTCTTCAAAAGCATGCATTTTTACACAGACCTATGTTTTCTTTGCCTGGTGTTGTTCGCTCTTGAAATTTTACCTGTTGATGCATTAGAATCTCGACTATAAACTTCTGTGACATATTTGCAGGGAATGACGTCGATTCGAAGCCCCCGAGCAGCACTTCCTCGTTGCGCCAACGACACAGCGTCGTGCATGACCACACGGGAAGCATGAGGAAAACCGTGAAATTTGCCGATTCGTCTCCAGAGGCCAACAAACGCGACCTAATGCCGAAAGTGTTGAAATTGAATCCACTGCCGAGTCACAACAAAGAGAACCGACCGGAAGGAAAGCCGATCGCCAGGGTAGGGCCTTTGAAAGCTGTTCGTCCAGTGGCCGCCATGGTGAGGCCGTCCCCTCTTGCTGGGAAACCAGTAGCGAGTGTCAAACCCATGGCGGAAAGTAGTAGCGGTGTTGTCAGACCGCCTGTCGTGAAAAGTGCTGTACCTACTTCCGGGAATGAAAAACCGTCGAGTGGTGCGTATGATGAATCACGTGGGGATTGAGAAGTTTGTCGTTCTTCTTTACATCGTTGAAAATTCCTACCCTAGGCCCAGAATTAAATCATTCAGATTTCGAAGTATTTAATTCGGAGTTCCTTCGAACACTTTCAGGGTCAATGCCATTACAGTATTTAAAAAAGCTCGTGTGCATTTGCTAAGAACTTTTCAAAATTTGTATTTGACGTGGGCAACTTCCTGCTCACCAATTCAAGTTTTGGCGTATCTCTCGCATCCAGAACTACAGCAGCTGTATTTTCGAGTCCGCGACAAAATCTTTTTTTTTTCTATGTGGTCATTAAATCAAGAAAATTGTCACTGAGTACATTTTTTTAATAGGGTACACTCATAACTCATCTTCATTTCCGCCGGGCTGAGGAAAAATGAGTCAGAAAGAGAGTCCAAACGGATTCGCAACTCGATAACTGATTTTTTTGCAGTGCAAGTATGGAACTGTGAACGAAACTGATCCGTTAAAAAAATTCAAATGTTTAGTACATCCCGTTGACTTAAGTTCATATTTCTGAAGACATTTTTCCAATTTTTTTGAAAAATCGAGCAAAAATGTTGAATTGTTCTTAGTCTAAACGTAGTTGCTGGCTGAATGCGATCGTGAATTTTTCCTCACTCAATTTTTATTTTAGCATTGTTTAATTTTTGACGAGGCGTGTGGAATGACGCGTTTTTTAATTCTTCTGTCTTTCCTCAGGTGTTGGCAAAAGAGTCTCATATAGCTTGGATCGACTGACTGCCGTGAGTAACGGATTTTTCGAACTTGTTGTGCTGCTCTGTCCGCATTTCTTAGTAAAATCCAAATTCTCGTTCGACAAGCAACATTTCCGATGAATATTTCGTATGATTTAAAAATTTTGACTGGATGAGCATTGTTCGGATTCTGATTTGATAGTTACATTACAGTACTTGATGAACATGTTATAATTACCGAGTACGTCGAAATTCGACCTCTGTCCCACAATTCAACCTGCTGAAAGATGCAAAGCGTCGAATGCGATGTAGAAAACATCGCATTTAACGTCTCGCAATGCGACCCTAATTCAGCAACGGATTAGGGTCGAATTGCGGGCCACCATCTGTATCAAGCTTGGATTACGTGACTTCTGCTGCTCATGATAGCGAAGTGTCCCTGCAAAAATAATGCAGCTCGAACCTCTTCAAGCCAAACTACAAGGGACCAGCTTAAAGGAAAAAAATGAGTCAGGGAAACAAGCATTTTTTCTTGGGCAAAGAAAGAAGAATGAGATGTATTGGTGATATTCGGGACCTTCAGTTTTTTTTTAATTAGTTGATGATACGTTGAACTTTTTGACAAGAATTCTTTTCGCCTATCAATCGTTTACTTCTTTCAGAAAATATCAAGTTTTATTTTTATTGCTGTTCTCTTTTCGTGTCAATAAAATAATAGTCAATAGACCTCCAGAAAATTTGAGTTACCGAGGTTTCAGGGGGAAGCATTTGAGTTTTGGAGGCTTTTAATACGTGGCTTCGAAGAGAATTCCGAAAGGGACTTGAAAAAAATGTGACGTAAGGAGGTTGGAGTCATTGAGGTTCAACTGAACTATCACAGATGTGTGCACATAATCCATGAAATATACTCCAGTATTGTATTTGGTTACTCTATCCATACCTGCTGAAGAAAAAGTTCATCAGTCACCTTAGAATATGCGAATACCCTAAGTTGTTACGACAATCCGAGAGTGAGCAATTTCCCTCGTAACGACCAGAAAAATGAAAATGTTCTCATTTTTTGTTTCATCTTCAGGGAGTCAAAGGCTTGAGAACAGCATCACCTGCCCGGAAACCCGTTTTGCGGAAGCCAGCGGGATCCGACCCCAAAGCCCAGCCGCCGCTCGGGAGACCTTCGAGATCCATTCTTCGAGCGAACAATAAATGAAAAACGAATCAGTAACTTAAAGTGATGGATCTGACGCTAACCGTCCGAGGTGCAATGATTGTCTTCTCTCCGGGACCATGTTTAGTTCTCGTTCGGTTTACTATTACGATATTTTTTTATTGATATCGCGTGCCTTGACGCTGAATGTGAAGATGTTACTTCGTGTTGTGACGAATGTGGTCAAGTTGGTTTTGCATGAAATGTCGTGTATACCGCACTAAAATTGATGAAGTAAACGTTGGTGTGGATGAACATCGTTAGGACCGTACCAGGTGAAGAGGAAGTCTCAAATGGATCAATTATCAAACGAAAATTTTTACAAATGAAGAAGTGCTCCAGAAAGCAAAAGAGCACATGAAACAAGAAGCACACAAATGACCAAGCTCAGTATCAATTACGCAAATTCAATTTACAATACATTTAAATGCACTCAAATTTTATGTGAAGGAACATCATAGTTCAGTTTACGAAGAAGAAAGTGCCGGAGAAAGCGAAAGAGTAGGTGAAACAAAAAGCACACGTAAGACCAAATACAGTATCAATTACGCAAAGTTAAATTACGTATATTCGAATTTTTGTTCCGGTGCTTGCTTTTTTGTGCACTTGCTCGTTCAATAACCTCTTGTTTGAATTGAGACCCGCTCTGAACCTGTTTCACGGATTAATTTTTAAAAGGGATCTTTATATGTGACTTAACGGTTTTGTTGTTTTTTTTGCAGGTTCGTGTGTTCCTCGCGTCGCGAAAGTTCTCGCCACATTTTTCACTCGAAATGGTTAGTTTGAGGAACTTTTGCCTTCACATGCGAATATGAATGAAAATAATATTTTTTCTTTTCTTTCAGGCCAAGCGTACTAAGAAGGTCGGAATCACCGGCAAGTACGGTACTCGCTATGGCGCATCGCTCAGGAAAATGGTGAAGAAAATGGAGGTGTCTCAGCATTCTACCTTCACTTGCCAATTCTGCGGAAAGGTTCGTAATCTTTCCCTCCCCGGCCCGTGACTCATTCAGAAGGGATTTAATCATTTATTGTGAGGGAAAATTAACGCGATTCAAGCCTGAATAAGCTTACTATGACGTTTAATTTCTATTATGCGAATTGTAATTGCTTTACGTGGTTTGATGAACGATTTATTTAAGTATTTTCATGTCCGCCTCGTATGTACAGTACTTCTTTTGGGTGTGCGAGATAGGTCACTAACGAAAAGGGACCCACGACTAGAAGCCGTCGGTTGGTGGCTGGGTCCGAGGGAACCATGGGTGAGGGAGTGGTGGTCAGCTGCATTTGATATGAGTTTCACCAGCTTTTATTCACTGACGCCGGAAGCATCATTGTATGCTGACGAGTATTCATTTTTATAAAATTACTCACTTAATTTTTTAAGAGTTTTTAAGATCAACACTGTGGGAAGAACATGAATATTTCAACAAATATTTCCAAGGAATGCAATATTTCTAAAAATTCGAGGCTTCTCCAGTCCATGTATATCATAATTTTTGCAAAAATAACCGATCATCACTCACTCACCAGTTGGTTCCACAGCCACGTTTCCCCATGGGGAGTTTTTGTCGTGTGTTCCTTGTCTATCTTGTCATTGGGAACTCTTCTTCCGGGCACGATACCTTTTCGTTAGGTACTTATCCTCCGGGAGCGACTTCTTTTGTGTCCTTTTTGAAATACGAAAGCCATTCTCGTATATATTTTTGTAATGCAGGTGGAATTTTTTTTTTTTTTTGAGGATGCTCTTGAAGAAATTTCTGGATAGAGAATTATTTTTGATTGCTTGTTAACTTGAATTTCCTGTAGGAATTGGATTTTTTTATTTGATGAGACATTTTTGAGGATGTGACTTCACTAATGGAAGAAATATTTCGATTGGTGTTGAAAAGACTGTCCTTTTCCTGCTGACTTGAATTTCGCAAGAGCTTTCAGCTTCAAGGCCGTCCAAATCTCCCACCATGATTAATTTCATTCGAGGGTCTTGATCCGGCTTAATTTATGCTTTGTGTCCGTTTTTTCCAGGATGGTATGAAGAGGACTTGCGTGGGGATCTGGGCGTGCAAGCGGTGTAGCAGGGTTGTCGCCGGCGGTGCCTACACATTGTCCACAGTGGCGGCTGCGACGGCGAGGTCCACCGTCAGACGTCTCCGCGAAGTCAAAGAGCAATGAGCGCCGGTGTTGTATTTTCGGTCTCTCGAATACATGCACTTGTTGAGTCGCTTACGTCTGCCCGTTTTTATTTTTGAATCATTTTATTTCTGTTGTATCACGCACCGCTAAGTTTGCTTTTTTCTATATTTTCTTCCACGAGTTTTTTTTTTTTCATAGGCAGTGAATTTTCGTGATGGAGAGTGCAGGTGAGCCTGGGATCATCTCCGTGGATGGAAATCACTTGGAGGGAGTAAGTTGAAGTTGTAGACCATGTCGAGGATTTGAATCAGGGCTTTTTTTATGTTGGTTTTTGTTTCAATTTTGAAAGGGTGGGCAGATTTTGAGGTTAGCAGCTGCGTTGAGCGGGTTGCTGAAGAAACCCGTGGAGGTTTTCGACATTAGAGGTGGTCGGCCAAAGCCCGGCTTGATGGCTCAGCATTTAACTGGTTCGTTCTGAATACAAATGCAATTGGAATCTTTCCAAAACGGAAAATGCTTCGTATATAGAATTTTGTTGAGAACATAACGTGGGGAAAGACCAAAAATATTTCTTTGTACCGATAAACTCGCTGAAGACAAGCTTGTTGTAGAGAGAGTCCACCTATGATTATATACAATTCATCTACCGTATTTACTCGAGTACCATGCACCCTCAAGAAAGACAAAAAAAACGGGTTTTCTGCCAAAAAATTTGATAAAATTGTATCCACAAGTAAGATGTACACCCTATTTTTAGTGACTAAAAAATTGCAATATTTGAACACAGGAATGCCCAGATTTGAATTTACAGATGATTTCAACTGATTTTCAATGATTTACATTAAAATAAGTTTATCTGTTGAACTTAGTCAATAATTTCCCAGTAGAATCAAGTATAATGCACACCTAAAGCTCTATAAAATTTCTTTGAGGATTCATACCTAAATATTATGCACGCCTCTTTTTTTTCTCGGATTTAGGAAGAAGGTGTGTGTGGTACTTGAGTAAATACAGTATTTTGAAGGAGGTTACGGTTCTTCAATAAAATTCTAAATTAGTGAATTAATTTTGTCCATACATGCATTTTTTGGTTTGTGGTTACTTCTATAGTGTTTCCCTGAAAATGCAGGGCAATTTGTTGAGTAGATGAGATCTGACAGCAGTTTTCGGCAGTATTCATTCACGTCGATTAAATAAACTCCCTTATAAAAATTATCCCTTGTCATAAATCACTGCGATGTTCAATAAAACCGTAGATCGTCTGGGTTACATAAAATATGCACTGGATGAGCATTCCCAAAGTGGCCTAATTACGGTATTCAACTCGGAAATGAAATTTATTACGATATAAAAATCAATTGAAGCATCCAACAGCTGACAAAATTTGCGAGGAAGAATTGTGATCTCATGAAAAATGCGGGAAGCAAAAAGCTTATGTAGTTTCGAAAACCTTTTTTGAATACCTTAATGATGTTGGATGGTCGAAATTTTCAATACTGCCGGTATAATCGCATTTCTGGTCAAAGTTGAATAAATATTTTTTCACCCTTCGAAATTTATTTTGTTTCTCGCATTAAATAATCGATTATCCTGTGGAAGGCACTTTGTCAATATCCGAAATAATCTTTTAAATTGTAATGTATTTCAAACTTTGAATGATGCGACTTTTCTTTCTCAGAATTTAATAAGATGCCTGTGTTATCAAATTTTAAGGCATCAAACTTGAGAATGGTGACATTCCTTGAATACATTGACCTTATTTGGCTGAAATTTTTTTCAAGTTATTGCATGCACAGTAAATACTGAATATAAACAAGGTAGCGTTTGACAAAATATCCATTTTGCGCCAATCAGAAGAATGAAAGAAATGCGGAGACCTATTACTGTATTTTCTTGGGAAACGCTGAGAAAGTTCAAGCTTATTCATCAGTTGTGAAATTTTGTGAATTATACCTGTAGTACATTATTACTGTATAATCTGAAAAGGGATTTTCGTGAATAATCTTGCGATTACCCGAGACCGAAAAAAAAATTTATGGCATGTGTTACTTGAAACTTCATAAGCTTTCGACTTGTGATTTCAGGATTGCAGCTTTCGAGTCTCATTTGCAATGGAACCCTTTCCGGGGCTTCGTTGGGATCCACTCAAGTGGTTCTCACGCCGGGTCCGGTGATGACTGCTGGGGTTTATGACATGGACACCGGAACCGCAGGGTAATTTTAAAAATCGAAACGAAATTCAGAAGTGCAGACACATTCGAGGATTACTGTAATGCCTACTTTCGAAGTTCCAACGAATATAAATTGAGGTTTTTTTTAGTACACATTTTTTTAAAGAGCAGATTTTTGCTCCTGATTTCGCTGACGAAAGACCTGAAAAGTTTTTCGATTGTAACTTTCCTAAGTGATGCTATTATCGGATGTTATCTCTTCCCTGAGACATTTTCGGTGCTGTTGAATGTCGCGTGAACATTTTTTTTAAAGTTTGTTGGAGTACCATATGCGATTAAAAGACGCGAAAACTAATATTGAAACATGTTCAATTTTTTACTCCAAGGCAGCCATCAGGTTTTTTTTTTTTTTTTTTTTGCTGCCGAAGAAAATGAGGCGGTTTTAAAGTCTTGGATTTGAAAGCAAATGATGGGGAATTTTAAAAATGTGCTAATTAAACTTATCTCATGAAATAATCAAAAATATTTGTGCGATGAAGTATTTGTGATATTTTAATGAAGTCTGACCAAAGTGCAGAAAAATTACATAAAATGCACCCTCGAAAAGCATAGAGCAACTTTTATCTGCCTTTTTTCGGAGACACATATTGCATAAAATAGTTTTTGAAGTTTATTTCACGTGGAACGAAACTGCGTTGGCTCGTTTTTTTTTTTTTTAGTTCAGGTGCTAACATGGAGGAAGAAACGTAAATCGCATGATAAAGCTCAAGCATTCGAGTCTGTCTCAAATTTAGTGGAAATGTTCTCATGTTTTTTTTTTCATGAATAGTTTGTGTATTCTTTCCGATTTATAATTTTTGCAGGAGCATCGGCCTTCTGATCCAAGTTTCTCTCCCTCTGCTCCTGTTCGCCTCACCTCCGGGCTCCAAATCACGCATGACACTCGGCGGAGGAACAAACGCGGCATTTGCTCCACAAATTGACTACATGACCCACGTTTTTGCACCCGTTGCCAAGAAATTCGGGGTCAACTTTGACATCCGAGTGGAACGACGAGGCTATTACCCACGCGGCGGTGGGTTGGTGTCAGTGGAGGTACCTTCGATCCCTGTGTTGAAATGTGTGAATCTTACGGACATGGGCTCGGTTTTGAGGATCCGGGGAATGAGCTTTGTTGCTGGTGCTTTACCCTTGAAGGTGAGATTTTTCGTAGTTCCGGGTTTTTTGGGGGATTAATTTTTTTCGTGCTAGCTCATATGATGCTTGCTAATCTGTGCACTGGCGGATTTTTGTCCCTATGTGATGTGTTATTTTTGAGTTACAGTATCTTGAGATGACTTGGCGTGCGAACGTGTTTTAATTTGAAGCCTGGTTTTCAATCGGTTGTCACTAATCACGAATTATTGTAGAAGAAACTGTTTTCAATTGGGATTTTGTTTCTCGATTTTTTTTAAGGCTGCCCATGAAATTGCGGATTACGCCACGAGGGCTTTACGAAGACATTTTCCGCCTGATGTGCCAATAGATATTCATAGGTACAAAGAAGCGCCGAGGTTCGCAGTTGGAACAGGATCTGGAATAACGTGAGAAAAATTACATTCGAAATGATGGCAAAAAATTGAGGTTTTTTTTTGCCACCCTGACCCGAAGAAATTCGTTCTTTGGGGTAAATTTATCGTTCCATTATTCCCTGGTTTAATTTTAGTAGTGCCGCCATTCCTCAGAAGAATCGTTTACATTGAATAGTTCATGACTCTTATTTTTCTATGTGTTCCTGTATTTTGCGATTTCTTGACTCATCCAGTTTGTATGCTGAGACGTCAACTGGAATGACTTTTGGAGGATCTTGTTTGGGGGATCGCTCGAAAAGGAACAATGTGATCGGCGAAGAAGCTGCGGAAGAATTGACGGAAGCGTTTTTGGCCAAAGCTTGCCTCGACAAATGGGCACAAGATCAGGTTTGTAACTGGTTCCTCTCAAAAATTATAACAAATTGTTGCAGAATTTTTATTTGATTGTGGGAAAGATATCCTGTTTCTTCTCCGGTTTTTTCGAATCATCTAGCGTTTTTTTTTCATCAGCTTCATTTTTTATCACAGTATTCCCATCAAATTAATAATACTGATTTACAGTATTTCTCCGGTTTCTCCACACAAAAAAAAAAAATGTTCTCCAGTTTTTTAATGAAAATTCCTCCGTCCTCCAGGTGATATTATTCATGGCTCTCGCCCGCGGAAAATCGGTCATTCGCTCCACAAGCCTCACTTTACACACGAAGACTGCCATTTTTGTTGCGGAAAAATTCACGGGGGTATGAATCTGATTTTTTGAATTATCTGCAAACAACAGTTTCGTCATTCTTTTTGATTATCTTTGAGCAGGTTTCATTCAAGGTCGAAGAAGGAAGCAACTATTCTGTGATTGAGTGCGAGGGAATTGGTTTGTGTAACGGGAAATGAACGTTTATTGGTTATCTGAATTTGTTGCGATTTATACGTGATCTGAGAAGCTTCGTTGCGATTTATTTAATTTTATGAATTCACTTTTCTTCCCAGATGTGAGTGTTCAAGCTCGCCGTGAGACTTTATTTGCCCCTTTTTCTTTTCGCTTTCGTCGTCGAGATGGGTTTGCTACCATCTTCGGTTGAAGTGAGCATCGAGATCCTGTTGGACAGAATCGACTGTCCGGGTCTCCGGTTGCCGCACAAGGAAATGACTTACATGAGAATCTATTTGTTTGACGTGGATGTAAGGACTGGTCAGGCTCCTCCGTATCTTCCAATCATCTTCCAAGAACAGTTCAAATTTTCAAAGGTAAACCTTTCCCATCATTTGGATTATTCATTTTGTGCGATGAGTTGCTTCATGAATTGTCTGGCAAGTTTCGCGTGAATTGTTGACGTGGTCAAATTTTACCTACCTTCACTACGGTATTTTATATTGCATCTTAAATACAGTTCTTTGATACAGTGTTCCCCAACCTGGGGTTCTGTGGACTGGCGCCAGTCCACAGGAAATTTTCATCATAATAAATTTACAAAAAAAAAAGCAATGAAGTTTGTTATCTTCATCTGAAATTTTGGAAAGACAATGGCAGTTGAAATCATCTGATGGAAAAAAAAAAGTTGGCTTTTCTCCTCATCACGCTTCTGACAAATTTTTGCCTGCTAGAATAAATTATTTTGATTTTTAATTCTGAGAAACCTCTCTTCAAGCCCACCTTTTTTGTTTTTTTGAAGACATTCCACTTTATCCGCTTCATTGGTTCTTAACCTAATTTTTGCAAGAAAAGCAGAAACTTTTTGAATATTTCTGTGAATGTCTTTCAGACAAACCTTTTTGGAGTCTGCAAGCATATTTTAGAAACCATGCTGGTCTGCAGAAAATGTATTGGAAGTTTGCTGGTCTGCAAAATCTGTATGGAAATTTTCAAAAAAGGTTTGGGTAACACTCCCTAATAAATGCCTGTGGCATTTATGCAAAATATTTAACTTTTCTCCATTTTTTTAAAGAGACTGGAGAGGTGCTTATTAACAAAAGTTTAGACTACAAGACTAGAGAAAAAGAAAGGGAAATGGTATAAACCTGGGAGAAAAATTGAAAAAAAAACACTTTGATGGCAACTTTCTGATTTCATTTTGAAAGTGTTCAAAGTTATTTTCACTAGATATTTCATTTGACTGTGTTCATTTCATTCACAGAAATTTTATGCCATGAAAGACTGGACGGAGTTGGAAGTGATGCTCAGGTTCCAGGCCTTGAATGTGGAGTTGCTTCAGCGGCAAATTGGAGGATACTCAAAGATCCTTGCCTGAATATCAGGGTAATGCTTGGGATGTACTCGTGGCATGTAACCATGACCCTGTTGACAGTCCAGTGACCTCTGAAGGAAGGGCCAGACTTGTCATGAAACCAACGGTCCATATGCCAGTAAGTTCTATATATAGTCAAGTCAAAATTCTTGAGCACTTTTTATTCAAAAACACTTCACTTTTGCCTCCACTTGTAAAGACTGTCAATTAATAAGCTATATTGGACATCATTTGAAAGATAAATTCAGTGGGGTGTCAGCTAACAAATTTAATGTGTTCCTGAGAAATTTTTGTTGGTAGGAATGTGTTGGTTAAATGTAGGAATTATTTTTATTTGGTCCAGAACCGTTATTGAAAGTGCCCATGGAAATTTTAAAATTGACCTAATAATAGCTGACATCTGGGAACATTTTTCTTACAAATGAAGGACAAATTTCATTCCAAGCACTTCCCTTTTACCTTCACTTGTAAAGACTGTCAATTACTAAACTATAATTTTTATTGGATCCAGAACCTTTATTGAAAGTGCCCATGGAATTTTTAAAATTGACCTATTAATAGCTGACATCCGGGAGCATTTTTCTAGCGAATATAGGAAAAATTTTATTCCACGCTCTGCGCTTCTATGGAGCGTATATCTTGGAAAAATACATAGAAATTACATAAACTGTACTGCGGTTGGGCCTCCAGAAAATTCGAGTCAGAGATTTTATGGGGCTAAAGCCTTCGAGTGAGGGAGGTTTTTAATGTTTTTTTTTCTAACGGATTTCAGCGATGGACTTCAACAAAAATTCTACGTAAATAGGTTCGAGTTATCTGAAGTCCAACTGCATGAATTTTTCATTCACTCAATATTCTCACGACTCATTGGAAATACGGTAACATTTATGTTTCTGCTTGAGAAGTGAGTTGCAATTTTTGTCGTTTCAGACAACGATTGCTCCAGAGTGCCACGTGAGGTTCATGGTGTGCACCATTGGATGGACTCCACCGTGGAGGCCCTATGGTGCAACTGTCGGGGACAAGCCGAGCAAGTCCCGAAGGCTCGGCGACTCGTTACCAAAGGTGTCTTGGAGCAGCATGGAGAGTCTCGCAGGAAGGAACAAAAGTCGGGGCTCTGCAGGCATGGGAGATCAAGTTACCAGAGGAGCCATTGTGTCTGCTGAGATAGACGTCCTTAAAGTGAGAATTGAGCCTGTACATGGCAGGGATGATGATGATGGAGTTTAGAAAAAGTGTGGTCCGGGTCTTGGAATTCGAAGTTTTCTTTTATTTTAGCCCGAGAAAATTTTTATTTCTTCCAAACCCCAGTAAGAACCATGCGTGTGATTATTGAGGCAACGCCAGCGTACAAAGCAGGAAGAGTCATACAATTAGAAGTTGCTGAAGAAACTTTTTATAAGGACTTTGGAATGAAACTCTGTTTCTGAAGAGGATCTCTGTTGAGTAGGGTTGGTTCGTAACTAAATTTCAACCATCAGTGAGACCCCCACATGCGGACAACTCAACATGGGGACAATTTGACTTAGAGACATTTATTTTTCGATAATAAAAAATCATAAAAAAGGCCCAAAATAGGGGCACTGACTCGACATGAGGACATTGCATGATAAAATTGCCAATAAATTCTAGGAAAATTGACTTTTATTAGGCTCAATTGCAAGAAACAGATACTGTATTTCCATCCCTAAGATAAATGTAAGAAAAAGTTTTTGGTACTTTTCCCATCACTTTCTCATCCACTCAGATGATTTAAAAAAAAATTACTTGTAGCACAGAGGGACTTCCTTCTCTTTTTGTGACTTGGATGTCATTTTTACGGATGCCAACATTTCAATGAACTGTACAGTAGTATACTATTCAATGCTCCAAACGTTCTTCTTGGGTTGAAAAGATATTCACTGAATCAAATTCAAGTGGCAAACAAAAATGTTTTTTCATGGAATTCTGAAGAATATTTCTTCCATAAAACACCAATTAAAATGTATGTAATGTAAGTCTATGGGAAAGCAAGACTCGACTTAGGGACACTCTTGAATCTTGATGCACCAATTATGTCCGCATCTGGGGGTCTCACTGTAATCCCAAAGTTTGAATTCAAATAATTGTAGCATTTTATGACCTAAAAATTGTTTTGTGAAATATTTTTGTCATGTGAGTCACCTTTTCAAGTGAAGAATCGCGAAAAGCGAAACTTTCGCTGCACACGTTGTTCGTAATGTTGGGAGCCAGTGCACTGATAAAACTTTTATACTGACTCGCGTTACTTCTCAGATTTAAACCCACAGGTTTACGGGAGGGCTAATGCTTAATTTTGAGGAGAAGAAGCGGTAGCTGCACATTTTTACTGCAATTATTTCTTTTTTTTCGCCAACAGGTTTGTTGCAAAAGCATGCGTTACCGTCCCTCCGGCAGAGTGTACATCCAAGTGACCTACCTGGGCCAAGCCGCCTCCACGGTGCCCAAACTGCCGGTGTTCCCTTTGACCTGCGCCGAAACCCTGGTGTTCCGGGAAGTGCTGGATGCGTCCGGAGACGAAGGCAGGTTCGGTGTGGGTGCTGCAGCAGAGCACATGAGTAGGGCGAGGCTCAGGATCGAGCTGAAGCAAACTGGACCCACTGAACACCCGGTTTTGGGCTATGTGGAAGTCCGAGGCTGGCAAGTCCTCACGCCGGTCGAAGAAAACATGTACTCGGAGATTGAGGAAAACGTGCAGCTGAAACTTTTGGCGCTTGGGCCATTTTTGGTGAGTTGCTGGAAATTGCTGGTCTTATTTTGAAAAAACAAAAATTCGCGTGATTTTGGAAGCATTTGACAATGGCCTTGAATAATTGCAAAGGCATTTTTCTCTCTGGTACGCGGTTCTGTTAAGACGTGACGAGAATTGTAACAAAATGGCGCAGAATCAAGTAAGCAGAAAATAGACGAGAAAAAAAAAAGAGTGTATCATCGAATCGCCGGAGAAGGTATTCGGGGAATTGGTCCTCTTGTCCAGTTTTATTTTTCCTTCCCCGTCTTCGTTTAATCGTTTTGTTGGCTTTTGGAGAAAAACCGCTTCCAGGGCTTTTTGGATTGAACGATTTTCCTGAAGTCGTTCAAAGCAGCTGTTCGTCCGACTTCTTCTTCCCACTCGGCTTCTCTTCTTCTCCGGATCTTTTCCAATTCCACGAGGAGTTTGAATTTTTCCCTCATCCACTGAGCATCAGCCTCAGCGCTGATGGTAGCCATTTTTCTTCTTTCTTTGACTGCTCGCATGTGACTCCTGAGCTTCCTGCCACGCCATGTTCTTCTGCCAGCTAGCATGTCCATTACCCAGGTGAACCATTTGTTCAGTCTGAGAAAGGTAGAAACAGTTTTTGAAATTTTCCTGTTTTCCCCACCAAAACTGTTTTAATTTTTCTTCACTTAGATGTCGCGTGAATGCGGTTATTCCTCTGTTTCCCAAAAGATATGTTTGGAGTAGGAGCCAAAATGTTCATTACCCAAATAAAGCCTGAGGAACGCAGTTTTTTTTTTTTTCAACTTCCCGGATTGAAGTGGAAGGTGCATTTAAATTTTGTGTTCCCCATTACCTGGATTTTTCACTCAGATTACCTAGATGTCGCCTGTAGGTGTAATAGTCTTCTTCTGTTACCTAGAAGGTATGGTTGGAGGAGAAGCCAATATTTCCATAACCCAGGTTAAGCATTATTTATTGAACCTCAGAAACCAGGAAAAATTTGTTTATGTCCAGAATGAAATGGAAGGTGTATTTCAATTGTGTGTCCCTGTTTCAGAAATGTTCCACTTTTATTACTTTACTCCTTTTTATTACTCTAGATGTCGCCTTTATTATAGGTGGTCATAGTTTTATTTTATTTCCTGGAAAATATGGTTGGATGAGGAGCCAACAAGTCTATCCCAAAGCTGAAGCATTTAGTGAGCTTTAGAAACCAGGAGTATTTCTTAGATTTCTAGATTGATGTGGAAGGTGCATTTCAAGTCTGTGTCCCTTATTTCCGAAAATTTCCCTTCTTTATTACTAGGTGTCGCTTGACTGTAGGCATATTCTTTAAAAAAAAATTTTTTTTTCAGAAGAAATGGATCTATTTTCGACCCAATTTTCTGAATTGAGAACTTCCAAATTTTCTTTCTTTGTCATCTAAGGCTGTGGCAATGTTTGTCACAATTTCCAAATTATGTGCGACTATTGCACATATTTATCAAGAGGAGAATATTCACTGTTAGGACAAGACCACAAGACCTTGGAAATGGTTACCAAGAAAACGTTTCATTGGATTAAATATTCTGAAGTATTCGAAAGAGTCTTGACTGTCAATGAGTCAATCATGAGAATTTTNTTTTCCTGAAGTCGTTCAAAGCAGCTGTTCGTCCGACTTCTTCTTCCCACTCGGCTTCTCTTCTTCTCCGGATCTTTTCCAATTCCACGAGGAGTTTGAATTTTTCCCTCATCCACTGAGCATCAGCCTCAGCGCTGATGGTAGCCATTTTTCTTCTTTCTTTGACTGCTCGCATGTGACTCCTGAGCTTTCTGCCACGCCATGTTCTTCTGCCAGCTAGCATGTCCATTACCCAGGTGAACCATTTGTTCAGTCTGAGAAAGGTGGAAACAGTTTTTTTTTAATTTTCCTGTTGTCCCCCCAAATTTTATTTTTCATCACTTAGATGTCGCGTGAATGCGGTTATTCCTCAGTTTTCCAAAAAATATGTTTGGAGTAGGAGCCAAAATGTCCATTACCCAAATAAAGCCTGAGGAACGCAGAAACTTTTTTTTTAACTCCCCGGATTGAAGTTGAAGGTGCATTTCAATTTTGTGTTCCCCATTTGCTGGATTTTCCACTCATATTACCTAGATGTCGCCTGTAGGTGTAATAGTCTTCTTTTGTTACCTAGAAGGTATGGTTGGAGGAGGAGCCAATATTTCCATAACCCAGGTGAAGCATTTATTGAACCTCAGAAACCAGGAAAAATTTGTTAATGTCCAGAATGAAATGGAAGGTGTATTTCAATTGTGTGTCCCTGCTTCAGAAATGTTCCACTTTTATTACTTTACTCCTTTTTTATTACTCTAGATGTCGCCTTTATTATAGGTGGTCATAGTTTGATTTTATTTCTTGGAAAATATGGTTGGATGAGGAGCCAAGAAGTATATCCCAAAGCTGAAGCATTTAGTGAGCTTTAGAAACCAGGAGTATTTCTTAGATTTCCAGATTGATGTGGAAGGTGCATTTCAAGTCTGTGTCCCCCATTTCCGAAAATTTCCCTTCTAAATTACTAGGTGTCGCTTGACTGTAGGCATATTCTTATTATTTTTTCAGTAGAAATGGATATTTTTTCGACCCAAGTTTCTGAATTGAGAACTTCCAAGCCCAGAATTTTCTTCCTTTGTCAGCTGAGGCTGTGGCAATTTTAGTCACAATTTCCAAATTATGTGCGACTATTGCACATATTCATCATGAGGAATTATAAGTGACAATCCTGTTCTGGTGTTCTGGAACCTTTACCAATGGTTCTTTTGCAAAGTAACCTAATTTATAAGACTTCATAAACTTTCTCAGAACTGACAGTTACTCAGTTAGTACTCTTAAAAGCGGGTGTTATTTTTTTTTCTTCAAACCTCTTTATTCAAGCTGGATGATCCAACCATTAAAATTATGGCCATCAGGGAATGGTCAATTGTTATTTTGAAAAAATCACATCCATATCAATTCATCCAAAGATTGAAGCACAAGACCAACACATTACTTATGAACTGCTCTTTATGTTTGTTGACTGAATGTGACCACTTCTGATTCTGTTGAGAACTTGAAACTATGACTTGGTTATTCAGGCCAAGTTACTGTCTGCGGAAATACTTGGCAGACATGCCAGAAAGTGAAGTTCAGGGTTGAATGCAATGTGATCAAAAATGATTTGGAAGTTTACTTTTTTGCTTGTATGATGGGCAGAGTGAGAACAACTTGGTGCCACAGTAGACTGCCAATCCCAAAAAACAGTGCCCATGCCCAAAGGTCCAGTCTTAGTTCTTCTGTTCTGAACAGCTCCACATGACCCCACAATACATGTGACTGCAATTAAATTGAGTGATCAAATGATCACATCTTTTTTATGTCAGTTAAAAAAATGTTTACTCACAGCAAACAGGAAGATGATCAACCAAATGGCAATGAAGATGTGGCAGTTGGTGATGTTGTCAAACACATTTCGCTCACCATGTATCCTGCGACAGTTGATCTCATTGAAAAGATTCATCATGAGAAATGTGGTGTACATGAAGGTGGCTTTTTCTGATTCCACAAACACATGGTCAGCATCCAGTGGGAGAAGAAGAAACCATTCTGATCCTCTCACTGTTATGGCATAGAGGACACCAAGTTGATAAACCACATGTCCCCAGACACAATTCCATGCCTGGGCTGTAAACAAGGGTGGATCATGCTGTGGAAAAATGTGTAGGGATATTTAAAAAAAAAAACGCTGTTTATTGCAGCTTTAAATTGTAATAGCCCTGTAATTTCTCTTACACTTATAGGGTGTCTCTCCAAGATATTCTGAGATGGCGCCTCTGTTGCCAGGGCCAATGAGCCCAGAGTATCCATGAGGAGGTTTATCCAGAGCATTTGTGCCCCCATGATGGGCACTCTTCCATTGTAAACAGCTGCAATTAGACTGATGTTCACCAGCACCACCCGTTTATACCGCACCTTGACCTGCTTAAAAGACTGACGTAGTTTTTATAAGGACGGGGTTTCGTCCCGGAACTACTACCTGTACTTTAACAGTAGACAGTCCTACTACAGACGACGAAGTGCCCGCACATCTGTCCCAATCAGACCCTGTTACAAAGTTTGGAAAGTTTTTTTTAGATGCATAAATTGTAAGAGATTACAATTTGGAATTTTCCCTTTAGTCTAAAAAGTTTTTGCTTGTCAGAGAATTGGACGTTAAACATTAAAATGTTCAATACAGTACTTCATGAATTTCATATTCATGATAATGAGGTTGGAAGTACACCGGTTTTTAAGAATTTGTGTGTGCCTGAATCTGATTCGATTTTTTTTCAGTGAATTATGAAGGAAGTTATGTTTGCATAATAATGGATCTAGGACAAATTGAGACAGACAATTCAAGACAGGGCCAAATTGAGACAGATACTTTTGGAGACAGGGACAATTTGAGACTGAAACTTTTTGAGGCATGAACAAATTGAGATGAATAGATATTGAGATGAATATATATTGAGAATTTGATACATTTTGAGACAGAATGGCATGACTTTGTTTCTCCCTATGGTCTTATGTTTGAGGTGTGAAAATGAACAAAAATGCACTGTTTGGTGACAAATCCATGATCTCAGGGTGTTTCTCCTTTTTGTCCATCATCACTGTCAAGTGAGTTTTCCTTGTCAAGGAAAAACTCACATCTTTGAACCAACCTAAGCAGATTCCTCTCCTCATTAAAATATGTTTTGTCTCAATTTGTCCCTGTTTCAAATGGTCCCTGTCTCAAATTTTCCTAGTCTCAAATGGTTCCTGTCTCAAATTGTCCTTGTCTCAAATGGTCCCTGTCTCAAATTTTCTGTTTCCATGTGTCCAGTCTCACATTCTCTGTCTCAAATTGTCCTTCTCCTCATAAGAACACTTATGATACCTTAACTGTACATTACTCTTGTTTGTGCATACTGTATACAGTATTCATTTATTACGTATTTTTGATTTCATCAATTGATTAACCATTGCAAAGCCA